ATTCTGGGGCTGGGAGTCCATCTAATTCCTTCCTTTAAACATAACATTTTTCTGCTGCTGGGCTTTGTTCTATTGCAAATTTATGAGGCTGTAAGATACAAACTGTGGTATCTGTGCATACAGATACCACGAATTTGCAAACTTACCTGTGTGAAATCTTCCAAAAATTCAGAACTCTACTAGAAGGCTACTGTTGGAAAGGTCTCCTGCACCTTGAATTAGATCATGTTATGTGATATGTGAACTAAATAATATGATCCAGCATGGGTTGCAGTTATGACAGGGCTTCAGGGTTAATCTAAGCTTGCCTTCTTGCACCCCAGTTTTTTTGTTTCAGATTAGTTCCATGCATTGATTATCTGTTCCGTATCTCTAAAATTTTATGCCAAAATAGACAATCCATCTATGTAACTGATACCTTCACAACACTTGCATCCCTAGATGATACTATTTTTAACTAAGATTATTAAATCTTAATTAAAGGGGTTGAGAGGGGTGACTTCATTGCTCTCTAAAGAGGGGTAAAGTGGAGAGGAAGGTCTCCTCTCTGGTATCCAGTGACAGGACATGTGGGAATGGTTCAAAGCTGCACCAGGGGAGGTTTAGACTGGACATTAGGAAGCATTTCTTTACCAAGTGGGTGGTCAAACACTGGAACAGGCTTCATAGAGAGACGGTCAATGCCCCAAGCCTGTCAGTGTTTAAGAGGCATTTGGACAATGTCCTTAACAACATGTTTAACTGTTGGTGAGCCCTAAGTGGTCGGGCGGTTGGACTGATGGTAGCTGTGTGTCCCTTCCAACTGACAGGGCTCTATACTATTCTATCCTATTCTATCTTATCTCTTAGCTAAGAAAGTAGGATTTCTCCATTCTCAGCATTTCACAGGGATGATAAAACTGGGAACTCCTCTGTTGGTTGCTTCATATATTACTGGGTTTTTCATTGCTTAATCACAGTATTTAATGCTTAAAGAGTTTCACTGGAGCTGTAGTAGCTTGGTTTGTAGTTTCTGCATTCTATTTTGAACACAGAAATATTCCCTTGAGTTTCTGATCAGAAATTGAGCTATTTAAAAATGCACACTAGTTTTTCAATGTGTTGAAATACCTGCTATCTCATTTCACACATCTGAAAATATTTGTAACATCTTAGAAACATTTGAAAATAAATTCATGTGATTCCTGTCCCTCATGAGATGTAATATTGTGTTCAAACATGTAATTGCACATTCTCTCTGCCTTGAAATTTGCTGATATTCCTTCTCTACTGCTGCTTCCTGTGAATTTACATTTATTATTATTTGTCTTGTGCCAGAGCTTCCGATCTGCAGTTAAATAAGCTTCCAAGCACAGTCTTCCCTTCTCAGTCTGCAAAATTAGTTCACATTATTAACAAAATAATAAACTTGGTGTGGGTGAAGCACTGTTGCTGTCCTGTGCTTCCTGTCTAAGCTTTCCTGATTCACACTCTGAGTTACTTCAGTCTTACTGGTACACTGAATGTAGCAAATATATTTACTTTTTGAGGTTTTAATTGCCTCTGTCCTTACAACTTTACTACCAGACTATTGCCTCGTTATTAACATTAATCTCTCCCCTTCCCTGTCACATCTAAACTTTTCCACAGAAGAAGAAAGTTTGAATTGCATTTTTGTATTCCACAGGTTAGGAAGGATCACTGTGGAGGTCAACTGGTCCAACTCTGCTCAAAGTCAAACCAGTTCTGATGTTATATTACATCATCCAGGTCCTTGTGCAGTTGAATTTTGAAAATTTCCAAAGACAGAGGTTTTGTAGCTCTAGTGGACAGTCTGCTCCATTCTCCAATTCTTGGTATTCTTTTCCTACAAAGTAGAATTTCCAGTGTTTCAACTTGTCTGTTGACTCTTGTCCTTTCACTTTGCACCCATTAAAAGTAAAGCCTCATTTCAGCTTCTGTTGAGGCCAACCATTTGTTCATCTCTAAGTTGAACAATTCAGTTCTCTCAGCTTCTCTATAAATACCATGTGAAGCATCCTGGTGGACTTCCATGAAGCTGGCGAATGTTTTGATATTTTTGGCGCACCAAGGACCCCAAAGTTAGACATAGCATTCCAGATATGGTTTCACAAGTGACAAATAGAGGAGGAAATCTACTCCCACTTCCCTGAACCTACTGGCTATGGATTTACCCATGCAGACTTGTACACAGTCAGTGCAAAGGCTGGTTGCTTGTTCCTCTTTGCTTGGCTTATTGTCCACCAAGGCTGTCAGGTCCTCTTTCTCAAAGTGCCATCCTATACTGTCCTGTGGTGTTGCATCCCAGCTCCAGGACTCTGTACATGCTGTTGTTGAACTCTGTGAGCTTCCTGTCAGCTCATTTACTCATCCTGTGTGGGTCACTCCTAAAAGCCGCCCTACCCTCCAGTGTATCAGCTTTGAACTTAAAACCACTGACTGTGACTCTAGCAAGTATTCCACTCACCTGATAACTTCTCTGTGCAATCCATGTTGGCCTGGTTTGGCTACAAAGATGCTTTGAGATGCTGTGTTGAAAGTCATGCTGCAGTATAGGAAAGGATGTATGTACTGCTCTCCCCTTGTGCACCAAGACAGACATCTTGTCATAGAAGGAAATCAGGGTAATCAAACACAGTTTGTCCTTTTTAGATCCATTCTGGCTGTTCTTATCCTTTCTTGTCCATCAAATGTTTGGAAGTGGATTCCAGAAGGATTTGCTCCGTGCTTGCTGTAGGCAGCAGTGTGGTCAGGCTGCAGGTCCAGCCTGTAGCTTTTTGAATCCTCGTTGTTGCCCTTCTAGAGCATGGACATGACATCTGCCCTTTACCAGTAATCAGGAGCCTCCCCAAGTTGCCATGACCTTTCAAAGGTGATAGAGAACAGGGTGGTAATGGTGTTTACTGGCTTGTTCAACATACTTGGATGTGTCCTGTCTCATGACTTGGTGTACGTCAAGTTGGTTTATTGGTCCTTAACTCTAACTTCTCCTACTGCAATACTTTGCTGCTCCACACTCAACTATTACTTTCGAGGAGCTGGGAGGCCTGTGAGCAGAGCTTGAGAGTGAAGTCTGAGGCAAAAAAAGTCATTGAGTACCTTGATCTTCTCCATGTCCTTGGCACTAGATCCCCTACCTCCCTGAGAGCAGCGGGCCCATATTTGCCTCATTCTTTCTTTTATTGCCAGTGTATTTATAAAGGCTCTCATTGCCCTTCATAACCCTGACTAGTTTCAATTCCAGTCAAGCTTGGCTTTCCCAGTTCTATCTTTGCTTGTTTGAGACGTTCCTGCTGGGTCACTCATACTTGTTTGGGACATCTCTACTTCCATGGTCCAAACCTTTGCCTTTTGTGCTTGACTTGAGGCAGAGGTTGTCCATTTAGCTGGACTGGCTCCCCCCTGCCATTCCTGTTCAATTTCTAGCTAACTAGAACAGACTGTTCTTGTGCTATGAACGTGTCATCTTTGAAGATCAACCCACTCCTCTGCCCTTCACAGCAGCTTTCCACAGGATCCTGCCAGTGAATTTCCCAATCACGCTGTAGTCTGTTCTTCTGAAGTCCAAGGTCTGCTATTTTTCTTCCTCATTTCTGTTAAGAGTCTTAAGTTCCACCATCTCAGAGTTGCTTCAGCTAAGGCTCCCATAGACTTTGTCTTCCTGGGCCAGATCATTCTTGTTTGTGAGTAATAAATTAGAGTGCCTTCCTGATTTGGCTTTCTGCTTGCTTGGAACAAAATAAATGTTCTTGATAGTCAGGCATCTCCTGGATTGCTTGTAGCCTGCCAAGCTGGTCTTTGTAAATATGTAGGAATGGTTAAGCTATTTACTAGATGTTCATCATCATTAACTTCCTCGACTATGTCATCTTTAATGTCATACTGGATTAACTGTATTTCTGATCCTTTTTTTCCTCCTGTATTCAGATCTGAGATTCTCTTTCATGCCTTTCTAGGGATCAAATTCCATGGTATTTGGCCCTAAACAGGGATCTCACAATATACACCTCTACTCCTCTCTGAATATAAGCATCCACAGCTTTTCATACAATTTCATGCTCTTCCCTGGTAGAGTTTTTGCTCCAGCCACCTGGTTTGCTTTGTTTTGCTTCCTCTCAGTGTGTGTGGGGGCTTGCCATGCCTAAGAAAGATTACCTCCCGTATTATGGATTCCATTCATTGCTTCCATTATCTTTTGTCCTTGTAATAAGAATAGACTTAAAAAATGCATTTAGCCAGGAATGCGTTCATAGCATGCTTCATTTGCAAAATCAAAGAGTCTAGGACCTTGCGTGTTTTTAGAATTTGTCAGAGATCAGAATTTCGCTGGTTTCCCTTACGGATTCTCACAACTGCCAGCAAGACACACACTGACAGGCAGAGCTTATCTGCAGAACATTATACCAGAGAATACTTGAACAGGGCATTGTAGACATCATTTTAAGAAGTGTAGTGAGCACCAAAAAGCACTTTGAGATGACCAGCAGTTACATACACATACGTAAACTGGAATCAATGTATCGGATGGAATGAATGAGTGGATCTGAAGTCATGTCTTTGCATGATCTGTAGTTGTACATGAAGGTTATATGCCTCGCCACTTGACTGCTGTTGAACCCTCCAGGTGTGTAGGAGCAGGTTGCAGCTGCAGTGGTTTTGTGTGTACCAAGTCCTCTACCTGTGCACAACAGGCATCTCTGCCTCTCTTCATTGCCAGAGTCTTTTTGTGAGCTTTTGAGTGATTATTAGAGGTGTGAAATGAGAATCAGCAAAATCCAAAAGACGTTTCAGTTGTTACAGCTAAAGGTAGAGGGTTAATGGTTTCCAAAGAATAATGAAAGGGGATATTAAGAGTGACTGCAGATTTCAAGAATTATCAAGAAAGCTCTAAACATTTAAATGCAAATAGCTTATTTTTACTCTAAGTGAAAAATTGGAGAGAAAATTCCTGTATTCTGTTAATACATGCATTATCACAACTTCTATTTGATTTGTTTTAGATGAGAAGATTGTGGAAAAAATCCGAGCTTTACAAATGAAAGCTGAAGACTATGATGTTGTGAAGGTGATTGGAAGAGGGGCTTTTGGAGAAGTGCAGCTGGTAAGAATGTAATGATTTAATGTTTAGAGAGATTTCCACTTCTAACCAAAACCTTCCTCAATTTTCCACACTTTATATCTAAAAATGCATTCTTATAAAGAATAAGTATTATTTTCATTGTGTCATGAGGTCATTTCTGCACATAGTAGACGGTACATCCGAGTTTAAAATGTGATGGATTGGAAGGGAAGGACTGGGGAAACAGTTTGTTATCCTTTGATCAATGTCAAAAAGGCAGTTCATGACAATTCTAAATTTTTTTTGGCCACAAGCTTCACTGTATAATAATGTCTGAAACCTTCCTATGAAAGAGCAAGTATATAGTGTGACAAAAGAATGTTGTTTTGCTCTTACAGTTGTAATGCTTGCATTGTATTTAACTGACATGACTCAGGATTTTTAAAAGATTCATTTCTTAACATTGTCCCTTCAACATTGTAGGCTATATAATATCTAAAGTAAGAATGGGATTACTTTGTAAATTTTATTGTAGAGAAATTCTATTTAAAAAAATGGCAAACTACAAAAAAACCCTTGGTGTATCACACATAGTCTGATTTTCATTTAATTTTGATTTTTCCCAGACTTCCAAGTCCTAATGTGTGATAAGTGACACAAAAATGTGAACATATGTATAAGATGGATTGATATGTCAGTTTTGAAATAAGCCTTGGATGTAAGCGCCAAATAGAATCTGAAGTACAAACACCAGGGACAAGTTATCATGAGTTTACAGATAACTGTGCACCAGCTGATCCAGGATACTTTTCTCTGTAAGCATTTTTAGTGGAAGAGAGCTGTGGAGCAAGTAAATGGAAAGTGGAGCCACTAATTTGCAGCAGTTGAAGCTTGTTATCTTGTTACGACAAGGTAACAAAAATTACCCTTTTGCTTTTTGACATGGAACTGACATTTTACTGTTATGTGCTATTTTTGCACTAGGAAGCTGGGAAAATTGTATTGTCTTGTAATACGTAAGCATTTTGGAAAACACAAAGCTGTGTTGGGGTTTTGTTGAGGAATGTGGTAAAATCTAAGCTGTGAAGTGCTTATAGAAGGTACACAGCGTATAATGGTAATACATTTATGATCCATTTATAAAATTCTTTGGGTTTTCCATATTAGTGTTGGTGAAATTCATTGAAACTGGGGAAGAAAACCTAAAATTAGCCTGAAACTGTGACTAGACTAAAACTATTTGCATGACTAATGGATAATTTGCAAATTTAGATGTGATTAATGCGGCAGATAGCAACATCTAATCAGCAATTTTTATTCATTTGTGTCATTTTTGAGACACCTTCATCCAAGTGTGGCAACATGAGAATGTAGCACCCTCTTACTTATTTTTATCAGGGTCATTTGCACTTGGTTTTTATCCAGAAGAATCTATGAAGTCTGCAGTGGAGTATTTCCAAAAATCCCCATTTTCTAACAAGACTTTAAAGAATTAATATGTATCTTTATATGATTTTATATTCTTGCTAGCAAGAAATTAAAACCAAAACCAGAACCTTCAGCAGAACCTTACCTATGTGTGAAAGAGCTCCTGCAGGGAGCTTTGTAAGAAAGCAGGCTATTCCTTGTCTTTTCACTGACAGACACATCAAATAGTTTGTTTTAAAGTCCCTGATTAGATGTTTTTATCTTTATGTATATCCACTCGTAGCAGCAAATAGAGACTCTCCTTTTTCATGCGCTTGCGTGTGAAATCAGTGAAAAGTCAAGTTATAAGGAGCAGAGTTCCTCGTCTATTTGTTGAGTAGGGGTGAGATGAAAAAGAGAAGATCCCAATAACAGAAGCTGTGCCTTTTTTGGGTGTCACACTCATATATTTGCTGGAAGGATCCAAGAGAATTGTATTTTTGATGTGCTTCAAAAATTAAGATACATTTTCATATATGTATTTCTAAAGACAGAAGGGTTTTTCTAAATAATTTTTATTTCTTTTTAACATTTCATGTCGAATAGAAGTTCTTGATTTGTTCTGGAAACTTTTTCTTAATTCACCATGTCATGCACAATTTAGATTTTGAAGAAGAGCTGATTTTTCAGTGTCCGTGCTGCAGTTAGGCAGTTTGAGGGATCTGAAGGCAAACTATTTTTCATTTGCCTGACCATGAAAAATTCTTGGTAACCTGGTTATATAATAATAGTTTTTGGGTTTTGTTGTTGTTATGTTGGAGTTTTTTTATTCTTTAATAAGCCCTTCAAAAAAGCAGGAATGCTTGGTACTGGAGGGGAACTTCTGTGTGTTCTTATAGAACTCTTCTGTACTTTATGTCAATTTAAGAGAACACCATTTTTCTGTAATGTAAAAATATAAGTTGAAATCATAATGTTATGCAGTCTTACAGCTAAAAAGCAGTGGGCTAATAAATACAATTGCAGATCTGAACTAATATTAGCTGATGATGTGGACAGACATACCTAGATTTTTTGCCTCACAAGGTATGATACAAATTTAAACTATTGAGCTAAGCTATATCTATTTCTACTTCATTTAAAATGTTAACACCACTGTTGCAGATGATGGATTTGCAGCAAGCAAAATATTTTGCAATACTTTCTGCGATCAAAATAGAAATTTGCTTCAGTGGGGACTCAATGCAGAAAGAACCATAAATAAAACGTGATTAACTATGTGACTTAATGAATGTTTTGTTATCAGTGTGTGCTGTTGTGCATTGGTATTTGTAACACAAATATTTATTATATGTTTCTAATTATTATATTAGTATGCTTATTTTTTGGCTTGTAATATTTACAGCATAAAATAGGCAGCTACGACCTCCGTCATTTAATTTTATTTTCCCCGTGTCTTCTGCTCCAGTACAGTATTTTCTTGTTGAAGTGGTGTGGAGTGATCAGCTTTCCAGATTCTTTCAGAAAAGGGAAACAAATTGTCTACTGTTGTGTCTTACAGTTAGATTGTATTTTAAAAACCTCACTTTTCTCCCTTCCTCTCCCCTCCAAAAAATTAAAAAAATTCAGTCCAGTAAAGAGAGATCAGCTGATTCTGGTTTGAGCATCTGACTTCGGTGGAAAAACAATTTCCTTACAACTCCAGAAGTATTAAACTCTACACTTGAGCTCTGGTCTCTGGTTTTACTGGGTCTGTAGTGATGGGGAAAGCTAAGAAAATAATTGCCAGCTGCCAGACCACTTCTTCTTTTATGCAGTGCCGTGAATAAAAGTGACTGGAGTTTGGGCAGACAGAAAAATTGAATTATGGTGCTTAATATGTTACTTGTGGTTTATGCAGAAACAGTAATTTATGAAAGCACATCCTGAGTACCTCTTGTTTGTTTTCACTTGAGGAAAAATCCTCTTGATTTGAAATTGAAACTTATCCTTAGTCCCTTCTCCCAGATCTAACCATGAAGGACTGCAACATTGCAGTGACACAGCAGACTGACCTGGTCATGTACTGGAAGAGAAGACTAAAGCAAAGCTAAAGCTTTTTGTGTTTGAGTGCTAAAGGATGGTCTGGGTGTCAGTCTTTACTGTGTGATTTCTTAGTGTTGCAAACCAGCAGTTGTCATGACCTGTGTAAAGAGGTGCTGGTTTACTTTTTTCCATTAAGTGCTTCGTTGATTAGGTTTAGTTCCCCGTCCACTGCTGATGTGCAGCTCTGAAGTAAAGCAGATAAAGTCATGGTTTGTTACCTGAAAATTTGTCAGAATATGAACTTCAGTGCCCTATCCCTAGTCATGTGTTATGGCTCTGTTAAGTATTTTAGGATACTTGTGATTACTTCAAGCCTTGGAGTTCATTTCAAAACTCCACTCTAGGACCTTCATTTTCTTTTAATCATAAAAGATACTGTACCATTGCCAATGATGCGTATTCAATCTGATAACTTCAAATAGAGATGTTATTTTCTTTGCCTACAGATTGTCTTCTGGTGTGGATGCTGTAGAAATTATGGGTGCATTTTGCGTGTACTCCTTTACTGAAAGTCTTAGATTGTTGAAGCACAGTAGAGTGAAATTCTTTTTTCTTAATGCATTTTCATGAGTTAAATGAGGCCATGTTACTCAGTACTAATGGCATGAAGGGATTTTCCTACCTATTTTGAGAGTTACTGTGGTGAGCTGCAGTTTAAATTTGGCAGGTCCTTTTAACAGTTGGAAGAAATTGAAACATCATGACAGTTTAATACATGAATAATCTGCTGTATGAGCCAATATCTGTATGTACAAATATAGCTCTGGGTGAAGAGTACAGTGACTAGCAGCTAAAAAGGCTGTCTCCAGGGGCCACGGTGGTGATAGAAGCAGTAATATCAGCGGTAGGTCTGTTCCCCTGCAAGGTGTGCCAAGACACACTCAGTCTCTGGGTGTGCCATACCAGTTATTGCTTTGGTTCCTTGATTTTTGTACAGAGAAAGAACCTATCTTGAAATTTGCTCCAGAAGTAATTTAGCCAACTAATAACCTATTGGCACTACTTTAGAGAGGTGCACAGGCTCCGATTTCGGGTCTCCCCACCCCTGTTTACTTTGCCTCTCCTGTGCATGAGCTTGTTTCAGGCTGTGTTAATTTTCAACAATTTTTTTTCCAAAGTAGTGGGAGACAGGTGTTCTTTTAAATGAAGGCAGCTACACTAACTACACCTATGCAAGACTGCACTCCAACTTTAGGAACTGTAAACTACTAAATACATTGCAGAGCTTTACATGAACTTTCACAGAAAACGCATCTTCAATTAAACAGTATCTTTTTGTGGTTTCTGGTCTTTGTGTTTCTTCTGGTTTTGGGCAGGATTACAAGAGCTCTACTTTGTGGAGTATAGTTTGTGGTGTACCACCAAATCTTTGTAAATAATCCCATGTGGGATTAGTAAATGGGAAGGAGTTAATTTTCAAAATCCTTTTTTAGGACACCCTCACTAACTGACTAATTTTTGATGTCTTAAAATGTACTTATAGAGTTGTTAATGAAGGTAGATATCCTGTTTCTGTTCTGGTGTTAGGCTGGAGGTTTTTTGGTCTAACTATACAGAAGGTTGTTGGTTAGTGTTAAACTATGCAAGGTACTAATACTAAAACCTCTGCACCTATATCTTGAAAGCAAAAAGCCCCAATTTCAAGTAAGTTCTTAAATAATCCTGTTTCTATTCATGTTCTCACTCTTTCCAAGATTACCCCCTCCACTGATACTTCTTCTATTCCTTCAGCAATATTATTTTCTGCTTCTCCTCTGCAGCAGGAGACTCCCAGATTTGTAGACCAAATAGATGCCTCTCTGAAGCTTTGCACTGCAGATGTAGTGGACCTGAAACATTTATGGCTGTTCAGAAAAAGCCTCTGTTCTTTCAAGTAGCGTAATTAAACTAGTGCAAAACTAAGGTCAGGAGATCTGCTTTATTTTTCTAAATGTGAGAGTTTTAAATGCACCAGAAAATCATAACTTCTATTTCTGGTGCATTTCACAAATTTCACAAATCAATTTCAGAAATTAGTCCACTGAATTTTTTATTTTAACAGGAAGAAAATATGCAAAACATTAAGGTGCAGTTAATTTATTTTTTTCTGCTGACTCAGACATTTTACAGCTGAATACTTCTCACCTTGATTTCTGTAAGGAACACTCAAGAATGTTAAAAACCTGGTGCTTTAGTAGTTGTTTCATAAAGCAGCATAAGTCTCATATTGTTTAATTAGCAGAGTAATGACTGCAGTGTGTAATTTAAGGATTTGGTTTCATATTTGCATTCAGATGAAGTTTTCCAAAATATTTTCATATTTTTTAATAGAAGTTTTAATTCCAGTTTTCCAACAAGGTTTATGTTACTAATTTTGCACCATTTAAAGTGAGTTTAAGAACTATTTAGGAAAAGAAAGAAATAGGAGCAGTCTTTACCTGGTGCAAAATAAAAATTGGCAGAGGCTGAAGCCAACTGCTTGCAGAATTTATAACATGAATGAATTAAATGGCTAGACAGTGTTCAGAATAAGAAAATACAAACACAGTTGGACTTTATTTCTCCTTACATGATCTAACTTTTGATGGGGGAATAGCATTTCCTTTTTTTTCTGTGAACAGAGTCATTTTATCTTGTTAGTGTTCTGGGTGATTTGAATTAGGCACCTTCACTGAGAAAATGTTAAGAGCAGTCCAGGTCTTTAGAGAAAGGTGGTACTTTTCTCATTCTGAGTTTTGGGTTGGGTTTTTTTGGAGTTTTTTTTTCATTGTCATATGCTTGTGTTGCTGCATCTTCAAAGAAACAGGCACCTCCCAAGAGCTTCTGCTCATGGCCCAGTGACTCCTCTGCTGCTATTGCAGTGGCAGCTGCAGCCCTTGTCCAGGCTCTGGCATATCTTCCTTCCCTTGGCATCCTTCTTGTTCCACCCCTGCTATGTTGGGTTTTTTGAGCGGCTGTTAAGCTTTTCTTTCCAGGTTTGGAAGTTCTCAAATCCTTACTGTGTAGAAAATCGGGTGTATGAAGACCTGGAGACATTGCATCCCAGAAAGCAGTTTGCACATAGCAGAAATATATTGTGCTGGTGTTCAGGTTTTTAATGAGGCACTTAAAAAAAGTTGGTTCTCTTCTTTCTCAACGAACAGGTTCGCCATAAAATGACACAGAAAGTTTATGCAATGAAGCTACTTAGTAAATTTGAAATGATCAAGAGATCAGATTCAGCCTTTTTCTGGGAAGAAAGAGATATCATGGCCTTCGCCAACAGTCCGTGGGTGGTTCAGGTAAGGAAGATATGTAAGAGTAAAATAATAATAATAACAACAACAGCAATAATAATGATGATGTAATAAATATTTTCCAGTCTTGAGCTGGTTTTGAATTGACATCTAAACTCAAATCACAGTTTTCTTTTTAAATATACATTTTTACAGCAATTTCACTGAGTTTTGAGTAGTTGGCTGTGTTAGAAAGTAGATTAATTTACATTTTAGTCACCACAAATGCATTATAAAACAGAACGAAACAGACTTTTGAAATACCAGTATAATTATTTGGAATAATAGGGAATTTATCTTTCCAACTAAGAAAAATTCTGTACAGAAATGTAGAAACAAATGTCAATATTTTTTTCCAGTCTTTCCTTCTGGCAGTTAGTATTAAGAGTGATTTAAACAGTCACTGTCTTTTCATTAGCAGTTTGGTCTATGGGTGAGTGTGCACCCCGTTATCCTGCAAGACCAGAGGTTGTAGCAGTGGTTTGCTGAAACCATGTTCTGTTTGGTGGTCAGTTAGAGCACCTCAGCTTGGAAGTAAAATCCAAGTAATGGAGAGTTGGCTTCTTCAGTTGTCTTGAGCACTGTTGCTCGCAGCTGTCTCCTGAGATGTATCATCACAATGTTGTAATGTGAATTATGCCTTTGGGAGGAATCAGTACTGAATGTTGCCGTTTGTCGTAACCGGTGAATTACACCAGTTAATAAAATGGGTAGTGAAAGCATGTGCTTGGAGAAACTGTTAGTACCTAATTTTGTTAAATAATGAATACGTTTAAGTGCTCTCACGTATATTGCCATGCCTCTGTGTATTTAATAAGACTGGCCTGAAGCTTTCCATATATTCTTCATCACTTCATGCAAGAAATGTTTTACAGGGTTTTTTATTTACTTGATTTGTTCTTTGAGCATGTTTTGTGCCCTTACCTATATTCAGCAGAAATACTTAAACAAATAGATGATTTTTTTATTTAGTTCTTTGTTCTAGTAACAGCAGTTGTCAGGAATTATTTTTATTTTTCACATGCAGTTGAAAGGAACGAGAAATGCATGACATGGATTTTCAAAGGAAAGTGTCACAAGCAGGATATAAATGTATGTCTGTATGTGCAAATAGCAAATGAACAAAAGTGTAGTTGCAAGTGTGCCTTCTCTGGTAAAGTGTATTAGTGTGATATATTTAGGTAATGTGGTCCAGTGGGACAGGACATCGAGCTGGTTTGAAGAAAATGTAGCTCCTGTTCTGAGTTAGAAACTGGGACAGATCACACTGCTTCTCTGTGTCTTGTTTTTAATATGAAAAACAAGTGATACCAGAGCCCTAGATAATTTTAATTTATTTTTTTAAAATTAAATCCCTTGAGGGCAATAATGAAAGTGCTGTATAAAGGCACAGTGCTGTTATTTATTATTGTGTAATATTAACATATTTACATGTGAGAATACAGAGACTATTTTGGATTTTGATTTAGACTTTAATGACCAAATGCATTATCTTACTATATAATGCATATATTATCCATTCGTGAAAACAAATACAGTGCAATATGTATGTATTAAAAGATATATTTCTAATCTAGGTCTTCTGTTGCTAATTATACAGTTAATTTTAATCTAAAAGTCAAATCTCCATAATAACATACCTGCCTTACATGGTTCCTCATCCTCCACAGATTCCCTTATTTTCCCTTCCTCCTTTCCATACATCCTATTTTTCAATTCCCTTTAAATTTTGTGTGTGTAATTTAAAGATGTGAATAATTTTAGATTTTAAGGTAAAGGAGCAGTATTCCCTGAGAAATAAGGTGAGATTTCAGAGACTTTTTCACACCAGCCATTGAACATTTGATAGTAATGCTTTTGATGGCTTGGGCTATTTTCAGACTTGGTGATTGCTGGGTGAGATCTCTAAAACTTCAGCACTGTAGGTCTGAAATACATTTTGAAGAGACAACTTATTTTTACTATCATGCCAGTAGGAAACATACTGACTGCAACCTATGCTAGATCAGTATTTTATTGTTAAGGATAATTTCTTTGTATTGTGTTTTAGTTGTCTTCAGTAACATTTTGGTTTTCTTTCTTATTTCAATATACGTTGATTTAAGACAAAAGCAGTGGTGACTTTGTGAACAAGTCCAGAGTTAAGGAGTTTATAATACATACAATTTAGAAATAGTCTGAGTTGCTGCTCACTGTTGAGGTATTTTCAAATCATTACGTGATGCTCCCTTTCTCAGATTTGATACTTTGCATTTTGACTCAGTGATACTTTTTAATGCCAAGAAATATGGATATATATAGAGATATATATATACAAGCCTGTATTATTAAAAAAATCAGGAAATCTGTTATCACTTTCTTAAAAATGAAGATGAGGGGATTTTAAAGTTCAGGAAATTTCAAGGTACTGTGATAATTAATAGAAAATATAGATTGAATATAAAAAGTAAAGTTATTTACATCAGTTTTGACAAGATATTTTCAGGTTTAACAAAATTTCAAGATAAGGGGCTTTATTCTTTTTACTAGATGTCTCTGAAAAGTAATTGCATTTTTTTCTTTCTTTTTTATTAATGTTGCAGCTATTTTGTGCCTTTCAAGATGACAAGTACTTGTACATGGTAATGGAATACATGCCAGGTGGAGATCTTGTAAACCTTATGAGCAATTACGATGTGCCTGAGAAATGGGCCAAGTTCTACACAGCCGAAGTTGTTCTTGCTCTTGATGCAATTCACTCCATGGGCTTGATACACAGAGATGTGAAGCCTGACAATATGCTTTTAGATAAACATGGGCATCTGAAGCTGGCAGATTTTGGCACCTGCATGAAAATGGATGAAGTAAGTATGCAACTGAATAATTTATTATATATAAAACTGTAATTCTAGGGTTATTTTCTTGTGAATTATAATACACAAAAGAATGTTCATCAAATGGTCTGCCTGGTTAGAAAGCTGTTTCTTGTCCCTGAGTTTTAAATATGAGTACTCTAAATAGTGTAATTTTTTTTATAATAAACTGTTCTGTCACACAGAAGAAGGATGTAAACTTACTTTTTGTTATTTCTGAAAGCATGTGTATTTATGAATTGTTGAGGTTCATTTTTTTTTGGCCAAATGTGTGAAAAGCTTATGAGATAATTCATTGTTTCAACATTAATAACCTTGGAACAGTTCATAGACCGATGTTTTTCTGTAAATGAAATTATTTTACAGGCAAAATACAGTCCTTGTGTTTTCCCGTGTCTCATTGTTCTCGTAGCATCCTCTAGTGGTCATTCAAACGAGGTCGCAGTAGGGCAGCAGTGGTATGTGATATATTCATCAAAATTTGGTAGCTATTTGTCAAGATGTCATGCATTATAATTGTCCAGATTTTATTACAGTCAAATACAGTTTTCTAATGAGATTGCATAAGAACATTTTTTAACATGATGTAATACTTTATGTTATCAAAGGTGACTTAAAACAAATCTACCTTTGAAGTTTGCATTCTTAAAATCTTCCCTGACAAACAATGTTAGGCTGTAAATTACAGAATATATTCTTCCTGTGAAAAATTTTAACAGATTCTAAAAAAGCCCCATGTATGAATGTGTGTTATGATTTGCCTGGCCTTTGAAGGGTTTCTGTATTAATATTGGCAAGGGTTACCCTTTTAAGCACCTTTTAATGGTGCTTGATATAATCTCTGCAACCCACTTAATTTGCATTTGCATCATTAAATTAATGTCTTCTCAGCTGTGTCTAGAAGTACTGTCTCTGATTAGGTTGGTTTTTTTTCATTGTACAACTGCAGCTGTTTATTGAAATTCAGTTTATTTAGTTTTGCTGATAATTTAATAACTGTTGTTACTCTAAAGGCAGAGAGAATATTCACCTCCACTTGGATCATTTACTTGCCTGTATTCTAGGGGACAGCATTTACTTTAATTGAAAAAATTGAAAGTAGTACTTGGTCTCTTAATTCAGTCCTTAAAAAACTAACTTTGTTTTGAGTCAATAGACCATAGATCTTAAGGGAATCTGTTGTTATCTGAAGAGACAATTAAAAAGCAGCAAAAAGTTCATAATATAAATCTACAATGAAAGGGGGATTCTCTATGCTATTTTAGAGATCCCAGAAATGGTGGACCTAGGCCTTTCTTTCCATTTTACTTTTCACTGCTGATGTTAAAAGAATGGAATACTAAAATGTGCATGACGATACTGTAAATGTCAGAAATGCTGGCATGTTTCTCATAGAGAATTACAGTGAGCTCCAGTTTAGACTGGGCATCATCAATGGACCAGTAATCTCCTAAAGAAATTAATTTTTTAACAGATTACATTTTAAGTTCTTCATGTTTCTCAGACTCAATGGAATGGCAAAAATTTTTTTTACAGGAAGCTTTAGGAGTTGAGAGATTCTGGATTGTCTCCAAATCTCATGCTACTTCTTACAAAACACGAACACATCCCAGCTGTGTAAATATAATATTGGTGTTGGCAGACTGATTTCTACAAAATATAGCTTACCCAATACATTTTTATTTTTTTGGATCTGGATTTCTTTTAGCAGTTGTGGACATTAGTATCTTCCTTATGCTACCGATAGCCCAGGAAAATTCTACTGCAATTTGGTCAGAGATTTTTCTTACCTTTGCTGTGGAATTGAAATCAGTGTTCACTTAAGTCTGCCAGGCCAAACCTGACAGTTGCAGCAGAATTTCTCCTTATCACTATGTGAAAAGAGTTGCTGCTAAGTGTTTTAGTGATCTTTTCCAGCATAAAAGAAACTCTTCTGTTTATGTACCTCAGTTGTGATGATTTGAGGGTTTGTGGTGTTGGGTGGTTTGTTTTTTTTTAATTTGTTGCCTTTTTTAAAATCTGCAATAAGGTGAGTATTTCTATTATTGAATAAAGAATGGAGTTGGCCTCAGAGGTGCAGTAGAAATTGTGGTTCCCCTTAGGTATGTAGGTCTGGTAAGGTCGTTCAGGGCAGGTTTCACCAGGTGTCTAATCTTCAGGTTTTCTCTAAGAAACTAGACAGTAATTGGCTTCGGTAGGTATGGTAGGGCCAGTGTTTCCAGGCTCGGTACACAGCACTGTCCTGTGTCAGCTGAGCTTTCAGAAGAGCACAGGTTTAGAGGCTACCTGTTGAAAACAGATGAGACCAAAAGAAGGCATATTTGCCATTTGGGATTATTGCCTTGGCTCATGCAGTTTAGTTGAAAGAAGCAGCGTGTTCCTGTTTTTAGAACTCAACTTTCTCATTGAAGCTTATCCAAGACCCTGCTGGATCCTTCTTTCTTCAGTCCATTGTCTGCAGCGCACTGCACTAGCCTGTGTGCAGTGTTAACACCTAACATATGCTAACCTAATATTTCCACACAAGCACTCTCCAGCTCTTTTTACTGGAAGGAACTTAATGAGGAAGTAAAAGCCTGACTGTTCGCCTTGGTTCAAGACAGCAAGTCCTTCAGGTCTGATGGAGATAATCCTGAAGATGAAGCCTGAATTGCTTTTCCTTCAGCAATACAATAACGCTGAATGATGCTGGGAAACACTGCAGCCTCACTGCCAAGTTGTCACGAGCTGTGACATGCTGTGTCTCCTGGACAGCCTATTTTTTAAAATTGTGCACTGTGCATCGCTGACAGAGCTGCAGGAGATGAGTTCCAAGATCCATCTTGATCTTTTGAGGTGATGAGGAAAGTTTCGGGTGAATCACTGGCCTGAAACTCTCAACTGGAAGCTTTGTATGAGAACTGTTATAGTAAGTGTGCTGCTCAGGCATAAAACAGAAGCTTAGTATTTGAAACACAGGAGTAATGAGTTGTCCAGAGAAAACAGCATCCTTTAGGTCTCTTCAGAATGTAGGGACTGCCAGGGTGCCGTGTATTACGCAAAGAGGACATCCCTGTTTACTTGCCTTTGATGCTGGAGATCATAGAAGCGAGTCTGATGGTGATATTTAAGGTATCCAGTACTTAGAAATACATACAGAGCAACGCTCAAGTTCTTTGAAAGAACAAGTGTGTAAATGAGAGGAACAGAAATCTGGGAATAGTATATGCTGATGATAATGGTCCAACCTCCACAGGGACATGATAGAATCCCCCATTGCTGGAGTGGTTTGTGATGCAGTTGGTCAAGGTGCTACATAATCTTATATAGGCCACTTTTCCCACAACACGTTGGGTCAGATGATCTTTCAAGGTGCCTTCCAAGCCAGACTGTTCTATGGTCTGTGAATGCACTTTTAGATTAGTTCCTGAGACAGAAGGTAGAGAGTTTCATGGGGAGTAAGTACAACCAGCTCCATGTGCTTCAAAGTGGTATGGTCTATTGAAAACTGGTGTTAGGAAGCAGGGCCCTTTTTACTGTAGAAATATTTGTTTGTTTTACTGTTCAGTTCTTTGGCATTTCATCTGAAAACTTAAGGTGTTATTACTTGGAGTTCTTTAGCATCTGTAATGTCATTGCAAAGAACTTTCCTTGTTGCTACATACCAGCCAGATTTGGTTTGGCTGGTTTTGGCACAGCCTTTGCTTTGTTTGCTTAAGACTTCACAAAATATCAACACCTGTAACATATTAAGAAATGTCCTTGCTTTGGTGTATTAATTATAGAGAGGTGGGAAATGGTGTGTTATTAAGTGCTTAGGTGTCAAGGTGATGTTCAGAAAAAGTTCTTTCAGAACTGTTTTGTTTACTTTGTTTTTAAAATATCTCCTTACCTGGGGAGGGATTTGGGTGGCTTCAACCAGTCTTGACTGAGCAAAAATTCAGACTTTTCCTTGTAATTTTGCATTTGGATAAGGAAGAGATAGACACACGCCAGTGTTGAAGGCCTCATTAAGGTGCCACAGTCTTACTAGATGAGCAGAATTACATAACCCTAGAGCAACTCCTCCTGAGCTCAAAGCAAAGAGAGGCTTAAGCTTCAGAGAAGACATGTAGGTTAGTGCACAAGTGCTATTACAAGCAGCATATTCAAATAGTCGTTCCTGCCGTGTGCCACATCCATTTTTGAATGGTCTTAACTTCAGATTTTTGGAGCCTTTGGGCTTCAGTTTATTTCCACTGTTAAAATGTGTTTATGGGTTTTTTTGACCAGTGAATGCGTTAGGTCTTCTGAAAAGTATTAACTTCATTTTGTTATCCCAGGGATGAATAGCTTATGTGCTATCTCATCCATAGTATAGAAGGCAAAAGTTAACCTGCTCTTCATTCTCTAACTGAGAAGATAAAACTTCTTCAGGTTTCAGCTTTAGCATAGAGTTGTAGAAGATGATAGGCATTTGCCAGGAGGACAGGCAGTAGGTCTTTACAGTATTTAGTCATCCCTTTAGTTTTTGCCTGCTGGTTCATGACTCTCTGTGTTCTGGTTTAGTACAGAAATGAAAGCTTTTGACAGTTCATATTGTGTATGAAAAGGAATATTACAATGTGATGTGTGAGTTTTACACATCAGTACAATTCCCAAAGCAAAATGTTTCTCTTACTTTCTTTAAATATGTATTTTTACTTTAGTTATTGCTACTAATATTCTGTATCAATATTCATAATTAATACACATTGCTGTTCATGCTGATGGCAAAATGCATGAAGAACTTTGTAAGATGACTGAGATTTCAGATTTAGAAACAGAATAAAAGATGAGTGTATTTTTGGTACTTCTCTAACTTCATCCAGAATTTCGTTTCATTCATCCATCTGGTCTCTGAGGAGTGAATACAGTGAATTTGACTAAAGGAAACAAGGCTTATAACTCTGAACTAGAATGCTGGCAGATCTGGTTGATGCTTCTGCGTCACTTAGCCCCTGCATTTTCAGTCTCTCAGCATGAAGCAAAGAGGATGAGGAATCATTCCATTAATACAACTGTGGTAATATGTTAATTAAAAAAAATATGAAAAAGACCTTTCCTATTCTTTGAAAATAGCTTTTCCTTTTAGTCTTCTTCCCATCTTTAATTAAAAAACAAGGTGTAACTATAAAAATTTACCTCAAACTTGATTTATTGTCTGAATTGGACAAAATTGTTATGTATCTGCAATGTAGGGCCTATAATTCCTGACTTGTCAAAATGATTCTAAAGTTTGTCCCTGAATTCAATGAGATAAGGAGCAGTCTGATATGGTGTGTATCTTCATATTGAAACCAATGGTAAAAATAATAAAAGTGGTCAATTTTGGAAAGAGGTAGTCAAGAGAAATCACTAAGAAGTAGGCAGGGGGTGAGCACATTACCAGGCAATGTCATTTCAGTCCATATTGTTTCTTGAATAAAAAAGTAGTCTTTCAAACACACTCCTCAAACAAATATTTTAGGCTATATTTTGTATGGTTTTCTGCTTTCCTAATAGATGAATTGTTTAAAGACTCAGAAGTATTTTGAACTGAGCTGTTTGTGTTCTTCTGTTGCACAGACAGGAATGGTGCGCTGTGACACAGCCGTGGGAACCCCCGACTACATATCGCCTGAAGTTCTGAAGTCACAGGGGGGTGATGGTTACTATGGACGGGAATGTGACTGGTGGTCTGTAGGGGTGTTCCTTTTTGAGATGTTAGTTGGTAAGTAGTAATTTAGTGTGCTAATGAGATTATCATTGAGTCTTTACTGTGCCTTTAACTGTACTTTGCTGCTCAGGGGCTGGTTGTACCTCACTAACAGCTTCTGACTTTTGGCTGATGCTGTGGCTTCATTCCTGTTCTCTTTGCTCTCTGTCACTCTTACGCTGTGACAGCTGTTTGCGTGCGTGCTCAGTGATTAGTTCCCTGACTCGATTCAGCTTAAAACTAATTCTTAAAATAGTTTTAACTGGGGTCAGCTACCTCACCAACTCGTGAAGGTTTGTGCCACATCAAGCAGTACTGAGTTTGCAGGGCCACAGAGATGAGAAAGGAGTGGAAAGGGCAGGACTGTCCTTTTCTTTTCTCCTCTTCTTTTTTTCCACAGCATGTCAATGTCTTCTGTTAGGTCAAAATGCAAAACTATGGCTCGATTCTTTCTTATATGTTTGAGTCAGGATTTTCCAGTAAGATACACCAGACTGCTATGGCAACGAACATAGAATATAATCTGTTAAGGAGATGAGTCATCTGCTTCTTATTATATAGTGAGGATCAATTTTATAGTCTGGTAGCAAAATACTGATTATAGAAGGATGGAATTGAGCATATAATTATTAAAAATCCAAATCAGCATGTTCTGGGAATATTGCAGATTTGATGCTTTTGGTATCCAAAGCCAGGAAAGACATTTGGATATAAAAAGCTGTTACAATTTCTATGTCTTTCAGAATTAAGGCACTTTGGCTTTAAAAAAAGAGTGGTTTATAATGATTAGTCTCTCATGAACAATTTTAACAATAAAGAAAATTATTCAATTATTAAAATATTGGACATAGCTGTCCAGAATTTTCTTCTCTGAGCCTCCCTTTTTTTCCTCTTGTATCTAGGAGGGAAATATTACTTAATTTCTCCATCTATTTTTGTGTGTGCTCACATATCAGATTCTGCCTGTGGTCTTCTAAAACTTTGCACTTCAAAGAAATCACAGAAAGTGTTCTGTTATTCTGGTTTTAGTAAAGCCACAGTACTAATGAAAATGGTAATTTTATTATGAGAATTAAAATTTTATTGTGCCCGTGACTAAAAGGTAAAATGTTGGTCACAGGATGAATCCTAACGATAGTTCAGTGACTTTAGATAGTTTTAAGGTGTGTCCAAAATCAAAGCTGTTTCTGGGACAGAAGACAATTGAGAAGAGGAAGGTTGGGAAGGAGTGAGGCAGCAGCAAGTATCAGTGATCCCTGCCTGCAATGCACTGGTACGGCACCCTAATGGATTTACTAAAAGTTTAGAAGTTTAGTTCAAGCTGGTGTGTACTAATTCCTTATTATGCCATAAAATGACAGGAGGAGACTCAAGTTCGGATTGTTACATTTGTATTCTTTTAAAAGCAGAATGTTTTTTGGCCATTGGTCTGTTTGTACGTTTTTTTCATGTACTTGGCTTTTGAAATATTCAGTTCCTTGATGGAAGGCTGCAGCCAGCAAGGCTGTCCTGCCAAGTGGTCCCTGCCTGCACACAGCACACTGGGACGGAGAAAGGAGCCTAGCTCATGCAATCAGTTGTTTGCCTTCCCTATTAAACCTATGGATTAGTTGGGAGAAAGCATTTCTGTGAAAGTTGCAGCTTCTTGATTACAGACCTGAACCATTTGTAAGTTCAGAATGTTGTCAGTTAATTTGAGTGTCAGTTGCCTTTATCGCTTCCAATTCTTTTCACTTGTCCCAATTTTACCTTTCTTAATTCTGTTTTCTTTGCAAATATCTTTAGAGCCTATGCTGCAAGCCTCTGGGTGGGAAAGGTCTATGATTTTAAAAGCCACCTGCCGTGTTAATATGGGCACTGAAGCTAATTAATTTGTCAGTGAACAAGATTTAATAATATGGCTTTAACAGTGCAGTAACACACTGGGAAGGCTCCTGCTCAGAACTGACTTGCCTTAGGCAGGGTAGGCCTGTCGTGCCTCTGAAATGGTTTTCAGAGAGCTTTGGTTTATTCTTTCCAACAAATGTGCATTAGCAAATCTTTAGGGAATTTCGGTCCATTTTACCCACGGAGTGTTTAAAGGTGGGGATTTAAGTGGGTGTCAGCCATCATGTAAATTAGAAAACACAGTGAAGGTCTTCAGATAGAACAAAAGGTGTAATTCGCCAGGCAAAATTTTGGTACTGATAGGCAGAACAGAAAATGGTGTAGTTTCTATAGAGGCATTTTAGGGAAGGAATATTTTTAGTAGTATACATTATTTTTGCATTCCAATTTTACTGTTTCTTTTTTTTTAAATAAAAGATTATTTTTGGTAAACTGCTTGTAGACTTTTCTTTATATCTTTTCTCTTACTCAACTTACATGACTCAAAATCACAGTCAATTTGCTATTTTATTTTCAGGCGATACTCCTTTTTATGCAGACTCACTAGTAGGAACATACAGTAAAATTATGGATCATAAGAACTCATTACATTTCCCAGATGACGTGGAAATCTCTAAGCATGCGAAGAACCTTATCTGTGCCTTTTTAACTGATAGGTAAGTGCATGTGTTGTTCTGTTACTTTTTTTTTATTTTGGATAGTATTGGCTGTATTTTTTTTGTAAAAATTAATTCCTTCCATTACTTTTCCTAATCTCTGTCCACATCTCTTCTGCAAAACCTTCTGTTCTCTAGTTTTTCTTTTGGGGTGTTTTTTCCAGGTATTGTATTTTATTTCTATGAGCACTTCTGACAGCTCTTGTTAACAACACAGTTTGGGCTGGACAAATCCTTCCAATTGCAGTGTGTAATACAGTTACAAACCTATAAGACTGAAAGTAATTTGTAAACTCCAAGTCAGGGACGAAATTGTTGTGCTCAATGTCTGTGTGGGTGTTACTTATGAAAAATGAAAGCAAGTACTTCTCTGAAAGTAAGCATGCATTTATGAGTTTGTTTAAGGTTTCCTGGAATGTTTGAATTTTTCGTTTTTATTTGCTTTGTTGTATTAATTGATAAGTATAGCTAACAAACCTGCAAGGGTATTGTTTTGACTACAAATAGATCCTCGAAGTTTGTCTATATGGAATGGAGCCATTTATTGAAATTAAGCTGTGTAAGCTTGTTCTTAACCTGAACACTTACATTTTCTTTAGTTTGAGAAAGCACAGATCATCTCTGATTTCTTTGGTTTAAAAGAATAACACTGTAGATCCACAGTTAACTCTGGATCGGTGATGCCTTCTTATACTTTTTCACCTGAACCCGGCTGGAGCAGAGCATATAGAATGAGAGATTAGGAAAACAAATGGTCTTATAATGGGTTTTGCATTCAAAGAGAGATTGTTTGCTCTACTGAGCAAGATCGCAGTTGCTCAGGAAGGATGTGCTTTAATTTAGCAGCATTTTTCACCCTTAGTAGCTGAAGGGTAGAGAGAAAATATGAGTAGAATTTAATAATGTAAATGTGGTGAGGTGTGTTTCCACTACGTGTGTCCCTCTTCCTGTTTATATTTAACACAGTGCTTGAGCGATTTATTTGAAACAGATGCTTGCTCTCTGTCTGCGTGATCACTGCTGAAGCACTTAAAGGACTAAGCATCGACCCTGTGATTTATTGCTTCTTTTCCATGCATTGTTTTTATGTCCTGTTCTTGTGCATAGTTTCAAGAGAGACTCTTCTGTTCAAACTAAAAGTTTCTTGTTGCTCTTAAGACTTACTTCACTGCAAATATCAGCAAAAGACGTGTCAGGGTTAGTTGTGGGGCAGAGGATGAAATTCTTAAAATATTTATTTTAGTCCAACTTTGAATAACTGTTCTGTGCAGTAGGTTAGACCTTCCTTCACTTGCGTCTTACGGTTTGTCATGTGGTTTGGCAGACACGGAACTTCTGCAGTTTTATTTCCCCCAAGGGTGTTGAGTTTTTGTTTGTGTTTTTAGGTTTTTCTTAGTTTTTGCCTCAGTGCTCTCTGTGTTGCTTTACTCCCCACGTGGCAGACTCCAAATTCTGGACATTTTAGCAGTCGCAAGGAGAGTGCATGCTAAGAATCAGAGTATGTTTTTTATAAGAAACTAAAAATTAGTGGTTGGTGGGTTTTAAGTTTTGTTTTTTATCTAACGATTAGTGTGGTTAACACAGACAGTCTTTACTGGAAGTTTCATTGCTGCTTGTGAACAAGTCAGAATTTAAATAACAACAAACTAAGCCAAAAAAAAAAGAAACTAGTTTCCCTAATGTGACTTTGGCTTCATTGCTATGTTTAGGGATGTGCGACTTGGGAGAAATGGGGTAGAAGAAATAAAGCATCACCCTTTCTTCAAAAGCGATCAGTGGAACTGGGACAACATTCGAGAGAGTGAGTAAATTAGCTTACAAGTTCTATTTTATTCAGTATTTGCAATAGTAGAAATGAAAAAAAGTTAGGCTGTATAAATTAAGTATTTTCTATCTATCAAAAATCTTGCTCAACCTTTCATATTTATCATTTGTGTTATGAAAACTCATGTGAGTAAGGGTTAGTAAATACACATTTTTCCTACTGGGATTATCCTCATCTTTATCATGCTTTTAATGTAGACATTTCCATTTTAAATAAAGGAATTGGACATTTCAGAATTTTAACTTAAAAGAATGCATATTTCTCTTTTGCTTTTGTCGTTTTGTATTATGTGTTTTTTCATTTTGATTTGGGATTTTTTTAATCTTCTCGTAGTTAAGACAGTAGTTTGACAGTGGTCTTGTCAGTTTTACGGCTTTTCATTTAAGGTGTTGAGAACCTGATAGCTTTAGGTAAAAAAAGCAAAGTATGTCAGTCCAGCTCACGAGCTTGATCGTAACTTCTAAAGTTACATGTTTACTAAGGTTTCTTAGAATGCTGATTGTATTAGAGTTCTATTCTCAAACGTGATTACCTGAGCAAAAATGTCTTGCGTATTAGATAGTCTATGCATGAAGCAACTAATACAAAAATAGATTGCTCTAGAAAAAATTGTGCACAGTGGTATTTCCAGATCTGCTGTCTGGTTAATACATATTTAACTACAAGTTATTTAAGGACAACTTATAATATAGTCTTTTAACATTATAGAGATACCAGTATATAGCAAGTGACTGAATCTTGGAGTGAAGTTCATCTTTTCTCCCCTTTTTATAGCTGCTGCTCCTGTTGTTCCTGAGCTCAGCAGTGATATAGATAGCAGTAATTTTGATGACATTGAGGACGACAAGGGAGACGTGGAAACCTTTCCAATCCCCAAAGCCTTCGTGGGAAACCAGCTGCCTTTCATAGGATTTACCTACTATAGAGACAATTTGTATGTGATACTTTAATATACATTTTTAGAAAAATACCTGCACATTTTTCTTATATTCTCTTTTCACTCTAGATTCATAATTTATTCCTTACATTATATACATTTATGTCCAGTTGGGAAGATACAGAATGCTAAGTTTGAGTAAAATAATTTGTTACTATTTTGGTTATTTTGATAACTGTGATTAAACACAGTATTTTTATATGCACAGAATTATACAATATCTTAAAAAATTGTTTAGGGTTAAAATACTGATAGATTTGTAATTTACTTCTAAAAAGGCTTTTTATTAGTTATTTTAGAAAAAAGTTTACACAAGATAACTTTCTAGAATTAAACTTGAATAATTAAAAAATAATTGTATTAATTAAAAGATCATAAGTTGCTGTGGATTTGGAAACATACTATACTTCAGTTAAGGAAAGATTCAAATCACAAAGATGCACTGAAATGAAACAAGCTTCATTCTGAGAGGAGCATAGGACAAATTGAGGCTTGAGAGAATTGATTAAAATGGCAAGATCGCCAGAGTTGTTGAAAACTTGAATAAGAGCTGGAGGGATTTGTTTTTGTTTTTGGCAGGTTGCTAAGTGACTCCTCTCAGTCTTGCAGAGAAAATGAATCTGTGCAATCTAGTAAAAATGAGGTTAGTGCCTTTCTTCTTCAGTATTAACAGTATGCTTAACTAATTTTCTTAAGTCTATTAAGAAAAGACAAAGCCTAAAATAAGTTTTCAAGCAGTTTTGGGGGGGGGGCTTTTTATCTTTTAGTGATCCTCAATAAAAATGATATTTTCTATTTACAGGACAGCAAGGAGGTAAGTATATTATCTGAATTATGAAAAGAATAAAAAAATTCCTACATATTTTATGTGGATGTGAAGTATCTTAAATGTTTATTCACCAAATTGTTAGCAGTAAACTGAATGTATTTTGAAACAGTTGTACTCAAGTGTTAAGGTGCTGTAGTATACAGGGGAATTAATACAGATTTTTCTCAAATTCTTTTGGCATCTAGAATTTTTTGGAAATCCAATGTGTAAAGCTCTGTTTGCTACAGACAGCATCGCTCTTGGGGAGATTCCACACTTGCCTGAGCGATTCATGACTGATTTATTCAGAGTTTGGAAAAATAAATTGTCACCTGCAGTGATAAAGGAATATTTAAATCATACTCCAGTTGGAGTGTATGGAACATGTTTATCCAGCTTTTGAAGATTAACAATTGAATTTAAATATACATATCACAGGAAAATGTTATAGAATTTTCATGTACTTATTTCATTATGTTACTTAAACATTTGTATTATTCAAGTGTAGATAGTATATTGTTAACATTTCTTAAAACTTACAGTTCCTTTTCAAAGTTTAAAAAATAAATAAAGGAAATGCATTATGTATTGATCAGCTAAATTTAAATGCAAATGTTTATTACACTCCACTTCCTTCCTGTCACTGCTGAATAGATGAATAGTTTTAGAGTTTCCCTTTTAAACAGATATGGTACTGCTGTTCAAAATACATATTGTCACATTCGTGATATTTGCTTTATGTTGTGATAGTAAATGCAGATGGTAACATTTTGCATTTGACTTCTGACAACTTTTTTAATTGTATTTTCTCAAGTGATGAATCTCCAGTTTTGATGTCTTTTTCAGTGTTCCTGTTCTGGGAATCCTCTAATTGTAACAATTGTAAAGTGTTTTAGAAAACTACATTTTTACATTTCGTGTATGAAGAAGGGAGGAAAATAAATGCATTTGAAAGCCTGAAGTCATGAGATGAATCCAAAATTTATTATTTATAATTTATTTCATGAATATTTGGGTACTGGACTGATATTTTTTTAAAAATATTTTAATAAGCAAAACTAAAGTAAGGATAATAAAAAGTGTTTTTATAAATACATTAATAGCAAAAGGAGGGGCAAAGAAAACCTACATTCTTTATTGGCCATGGGGGAGAACATAGTTACCAAGGATGCAGTAAAGGCTGAGGTACTTAACACCTTTTTCGCCTCACTTCTCAACAATAAGACAGGTTATCCTTAGGACAGCTGGCCTCCTGAGCAGGTAGACAGGAACAAGGAGCCAAATAGTCCCCAGTAATCCAGGAGGAAGCAGTTAGTGACCTGCTGAGCCACTTGGATCCTCACAAGTCTATGGGACCAGATGGGATCCATCCTAGGTTGATGAGGGAGCTGGTGGAAGAGCTTGCCAAACTGCTCTCCATCATTTATCAACAGTCCTGGCTCACTGGGGAAGTTCCAGAAAACTGGAAGTTGGCCAGTGTGACGCCCATCCATAAGAAGGGCCAGAAGGAGGATCTGGGAAACTGCAGGCCTGTCAGCTTGGGATCGGTGCCCAGCAAGGTTATGGAACAATCATCTTGAGTGTGATCACACAGGACCTACAGGATGGCCGAGGGATCAGACCCAGCCAGCACGGGTTTAGGAGGGGCAGGTCCTACCTGACCAACCTGATCTCCTTTTTATGACCAGGTGATCTGCCTGGTGGATGAGGGGAAGGCTGTGCATGTAGTCTACCTGGACTTCAGCAAAGCCTTTGACACCATCTCCCACAGCATACTCCTGAAAAAGCTGGCAGCCCACGGCTTGGACAGGGGCACTCTCTGCTGGGTTAAGAATTGTCTGGAGGGCTGGGCCCAGAGAGTGGTGGTGAACGGTGCTGCATCCAGGTCGTGTCTGGTCACTAGTGATGTCCCCTAGGGATCAGTGTTGGGCCCAGTTCTATTTAATATCTTTATTGATGATCTGGATGAGGGGATCGAGTCTACCATTAGCAAATTTGCAGATGACACCAAGTTGGAGAGGAGGGTCGATCTGCTGGAGAGTAGAAGGGCTCTGCAGAGGGACCTGGACAGGCTGGATAGAAGGGCTGAATCCAATGATATGGGGTTCAACAAGTGCCAAGTGCCAGGTCCTGCACTTTGGCCACAACAACCCCCTGCAGCACTACAGGCTGGGCACAGAGTGGCTGGAGAGCAGCCAGGCAGAAAGGGACCTGGTGGGGTGTTGGTTGACAGTGGTTGAACATGAGCCAGCAGTGTGCCCAGGTGGCCGAGAAGGCCAATGGCATCCTGACCTGTATTAGGAACAGTGTGGCCAACAGGACCAGGGAAGTGATTCTTCTCTTGTACTTGGCGCTAGGCCTGTGTCCAGTTCTGGGCCTCTCATTTCAGGAAGGACATTGAGGTGCTGGAGCATGTCCAGAGAAGAGCAACAAGGCTGGTGAAGGGTCTGGAACACAGGTCCTATGAGGAGAGGCTGAGGGAGCTGGGGTCATTCAGACTGGAGAAAAGGAGGCTCAGGGGAGACCTCATCACTCTCTACAACTCCCTGAAAGGAGATTGTAGACAGTTGGGGATTGGCCTCTTCTCCCAGGCAACCAGAAATAGGACAAGAGGATACAATCTTAAGCTGTTCCAGGGGAGGTTTAGGTTAGACATTAGGAGGAGTTTTTTCACAGAAGGAGTGAGTGGGCATTGGAATGGGCTGCCCAGGAGGTGGTGGAGTCACTGTCCCTGGAGGTGTTTAGGAAAGACTGGATATGGCAATTAGTGCCATGGTCTAGTTGACATGGTGGTGTTAGGTCATAGGTTGGACTCAGTGATCTCAGAGGTCTCTTCCAACACATTTGATTCTGAGAAAACAAAGCATTTCCAAACCTGAAAAGTGTTCATTAGATTCCAAATGAGTAAGACTAAGAAATTCTTCTTCAGGTAAGGTCACTGAACATGTTTAGTCATCTGAATATTGTCCAACTTGGTCATGTGCCCCCCCTTCTTATTTTTTCATTTCATTTAGAAAAGGCTATCCCAAAAAATCTGCTGCAGTGGACAGTCTCTGGCTACAGAGAACAGCAAAGGGCCGGTAACAATATTCTTTCCCCGTATAAATTTTATGACTCATAATCTGTGGCACATAATTCTGTGATGGTTTGATTTAATGCAGCATGCAGCAAATTTTGTTGCTATGGATCTGTATCTTTAAAATCATCTGAATTAATGCCTTGTAAAGATGTAACCTTTTAGTGATGGTTTTAAAATAATATAGTGGAAGATTGAATTAATTTTCCTTGCTTTCCCTTATTTTGTTATTTAATTGAATTACATTTGTTTTATGTGGTAACATTTTTATATGTGGGCCATACTTTTTTGATATTTTACACAGTTTCAGAAAAAACTAAGCAAGCTAGAAGAACAGCTCAGTAATGAATTGCAAGCCAAAGATGAACTAGAACAGAAGTACAGGTGAGACTGTTTTGACATGTTTGGTATGTTTATAGAGTAGTTTTATTAGACCTTCTGGTTGTGGATACTTAAAAGCATTTTAATTTACTTTGGGGATTCCCAACCCTGTGAGCAGATCTCACTGTAACTTGCTGGCCTGTTCTTGCTGCTCCTGTGACTACTGGGGTGGTTTTGTTGAGGTTTTTTGCCTTACCTCTCCAAGAATCTCTCTGTTATTTGAGTGATTTCACCTGTCCCTGAGGTTTCATGTTACTGCTGAAAATAGAATATCTAATTAATGAGACACATCCAAGCACTCTAATTTCTGTATTATCAGCAAGGTTTAAAAGTATTTTTCAAATTTGTTCAGGTCTACAAGTACTCGTTTAGAGAAGATACTGAAAGAGCTCGATGAAGAGGTAAGTCCACAGATATTTCTGACTGGAATTAGAACTTTAACATTTGTGTGTGGCTTTTTCCTTCGGTAACAGCAAATTACTTTTGAGTAACTATGTATTTATAGCAAGTCACACCAGTTGATTTCTTAGTATTCACAAGCATGAAATTCTTGTCACTGCTAAAATATTTTCATTATGATTTCTGTACTATAAAGACACATTTCTTCGATAACTTGTTTTTTACTGTGTTTTTAAGCTGGAGAACAGCATGATATAAATATCCCCTATAGATTTTAAAAATCGAAGGTGTGAGAGTAGTGTTTCTACAGGAGGAAGGCCATGCTTTGCATTGTTCAGTGTTAGTAAAAGGACCCTATTTCTTGCCCAGCTTTGCACCTTAGTGCTTCTACAAACTTGGATGTGGATGTGTACAACTTAATGTATTGCTCATCCAGGTGCATGTCAAGGCCTTACATTACACATGTGTTTCTGTGCTCCCAGAGTGACTGCTTAGGCAGGTCTACCAGGTTTGTCAAATCCAAATGATCAAACAGTATTTAAATAGCAGAGCTCCTGGCCATAGTCATCCTGGGCCAGATTTGACCACGTGTTCTGATACGCTGTGTTTGCAGCAGGCAAATAAACTGGCTTTCTCCATTACAGGCTAAACTGAGTGTGTGAGCTGTGTTTTTATCATATAAGAATACCACTCTTGTGCATGTAATTAGTGGTGTATTTTTTTTAAATATATCCAGATAACTTCAAGGAAGAATGTAGAGTCTGCAGTCAGGCAGTTAGAGAGAGAGAAGGCTCTTCTTCAGCATAAGAATACAGAATACCAGAGAAAAGCAGAACATGAAGCAGATAAGAAACGCAATTTGGAAAATGAGGGTATGTTGAACCATGCTTGAAGGGTTCCATTTTGATGTGGGTTTTTAAAAGTTAAAATAAATGAATTATAGTCTCAATTGAAGTGTAATCACGACAGTGATTAACAATGTTGAATTGTTTTTTTTTATAGTTAACAGTTTGAAAGACCAGCTTGAAGATTTAAAAAAGAGGAATCAGAACTCTCAAATATCTAATGAGAAAATCAATCAACTACAAAGACAGGTATGCCAACTTTATATATGTATATTTTAAAATAATAACTGTTTGAAATACAGATTTTGGGATTAGTGGAGGGATTTGAAATCTCTAGTTGAGTTTTTAAAGATTTTTTTTGTCATGTTTTGGTGTTCAAAAGTAATCTTAAAGTATATTCCTTTTTAGTTCTTTAATCCCTAAAACCTAGTATGCTGTAGTAGAAATAGTAGTTTTTATATTTCAGTTGTTTCTGAAGTTTGTATTTATCAATCTTAGTTGGATGAAGCCAATTCTTTGCTGCGGTCAGAGTCTGATACTGCAGCCAGGTTAAGGAAGAACCAGACAGAAAGCACAAAGCAAATCCAGCAGCTGGAAACTAATAATAGAGAACTACAAGATAAGAACTGCCTGCTAGAGAATGCGAAACTCAAACTGGAGAAGGAGTATCTCAATCTTCAGTCAGCTCTAGAATCAGAAAGGAGAGATCGAAGTCATGGATCAGAGATTATCAGTGATTTACAAGGTATTCCTGCAAATGTTCTGATGTTAAGATTGCTTCTTGTTTCCAAAATAAAAATAGGTTTGGGTGGTGTTATCTGAGCTTCAGACTGACTAGATAAGTGTGCTGTCCTCTAAAATGTTATGCAATTTTGAACATATGTTTAAGAGAAAACATGTGATAACATTTATAAAACACTATTGATAACTTTTAAAATCACCCCAATTCTTAATAGTTGGAATTAGAAGCTGTAACATTTGAAAAATGTTATCTCTAAATAGATAAAGTACAGTCTTGTTTTCACACACTGCCCAGTCTCATTGATGTTTTGGTTATTTTTAGGTCGAATATCTAGCCTTGAAGAAGAAGTGAAAAACGGAAAGAGTGCGTTAGCCAAACTGGAAATGGAGAAAAGACAATTGCAGGAAAAGCTCACAGATTTAGAAAAGGTAACAGCACTTCTAAGTGAACATTGGTGTTACATTCTTACAGAATTTTTGAATTTGTACTTTTATTATTTGAGATGTTGAGTAAACCTTGTTTTCAGCATTTATTATTTTTTTAAATTGTTTTTGCAATTTGAAAAGTGTGTGGGGGGAAAGACATCAATTCCCATATGATCATTAGACATACTTCTGAAGTATGTAATAATGTACTCTGGTGTGTAGCTTAACAGTGCAGTAGTAACATTTCATTTCATGTGTTGTTTTTTTTTAGACTCTCCTTATTGCCAGAAATAAAAGAGCTTCTGCTAATATTGAACAAATTCATCATTGAAACAAAAGTCTTGAAAAATTTCTTCAGTAAACCTAATCTTTGAGCCTATTACATGACATTGTTGTTAAGGCAGTAATTTTGTAATTGTTTGCCCCTGAGGATATTGTTGTACATTTTAGAGCACTTTGCCATCCACAAAGAAACATTTTAGAAATAAGTTCTCAGTTAGCTCTTTAGTCTGAGCTCTCTCTTCTATTCTTTGCATCTTTCTAAGCAGCATGTTATTGTCATCCAAAATTTTGCCTCTAACCTGATGTATTTTATGTTTTATTTCAATATTATTTTTTCTCTAACAGGAAAAGAGCAACATGGAAATAGATATGACATATAAATTTAAAGTTATGCAGCAGAACCTTGAACAAGAAGAAGCTGAACATAAAGCCACAAAAGCACGATTAGCAGACAAAAACAAGATCTATGAATCTATAGAGGAAGCAAAATCTGAAGCCATGAAAGGTAGGTATTTGACACAGTTGGACTTAGGAGCAAATTATACAAAGTAGATAATATAAGCTTTTACTGTGCATATTCTGGTGCATCTCAAGACAACTGAAATATCTTGAAGAGAGGGAAAGTTACCAAAAAATTCCAGAAGATGGCTCTTACTTTTCAATTAAATGGCTTATGTTTATTGTAGCTAATTAAAAAGCTACCTATAGAGTCTCTCCTTTCAGTTGCAGAGCATTCTCAAAAATTTTGAGCATGCAGATCTTCAAAAGAAGCAAAAATGACTCAGTAATAATGACTGAGTCACTTGGCATATCAGATTCCACAACAGCTTCAGCTCTTTAATTGGTTTTATATTATCATAGTCAGTGCAACAATTCAGTAGATTTAGATGGTTTATTTTTAAAATTCCATCCTTTTTGTTCATCTCAAAGGTGTTGCAGGTAAACTGGAAGTTATCTAGAAACTCAAAAGTAGGAAATAACTCTGTCAGGAATGCTTGCAAAAGCATCCTCTGGGCATGATTTTACTATGAAAATTTTAATTAATCACTTTTCAGCAGTCTTCCTCTTCAGTTTTAAAAGGAGAAACATGTGGCTTTTTGTTAAACATCGTCCTCCCTTCGGTCTCCAAAATATGCTGGTTTACACTGACTGATGTCTTAAATTTTTTTACTTCACAGAAATGGAGAAGAAACTTTTGGAAGAGAGAGCTTTAAAGCAAAAAGTAGAAAATCGGTTGTTGGAAGCTGAAAAGCAGCGCTCCATGTTGGACTGTGATCTCAAACAATCACAACAGAAAATCAATGAGCTCCTTATGCAAAAGGATATACTAAATGAAGATGTAAGGAACACTGACAAAAAGCATCTTGAGTCAAACCTCATTTTCAATGTTCTAATACTTTTCCTGTTATAGCTATATTTAGTAATGTTTGTAATTTAAGATGGCAGCAAAGTTTTCCTTCTCTGTCTTTGGAGCTTTAAAAAGTCTACTTCGTGGAGTCTAGTGTCATTTTTTAGAAATATTTCAGCATTACTCATCTTAAAAAGTTTTTCATTCTGGCATTTAAAATTCTGTGAGATTGACGTGGAAAAACTAGCTAATTTAATGCCTTTATTCAGGAAGCAGCTTCGATTTACCAAAAGATGTGAGTACATGTTGTACAGAAATGTAGAGGAAGCCAATAACAGACTGTTTAAATGTTGCTTTCCTGTGTAGGTCTGTAAAATTAACAGGAGTTTGTGTCTTTTTCAGGTAAAAAACTTGACATTAAAAATAGAGCAAGAAACACAAAAGCGCTGTCTCACTCAAAATGACCTCAAGATGCAAACGCAGCAGGTCAACACCTTGAAAATGTCAGAGAAGCAGTTAAAACAGGAGAATAACCATCTTCAGGAAATCAAATTAAGTCTGGAAAAACAAAACAATGAACTCCGCAAGTATGCAAGTTGCTCTATATTTTTAGTCATGTTACTGATTTGTAATATTTTTGTGACAAAAGTTGGGGGCAATATTAATTGAAAAAATTTGCTGCAAAGAATATGCTATTCTACAGTGCAAAACTTTAAGGTTCTTTAAAATAATTTACAGTGACTGGTTGAGACTTGCCCTAGTGATTCAGCACTGTATGGATTTGTATTCAAAGGTGTTTGTTATCCTGAAAACTTTAAAAAACTCAGCATAAACATGAGTCTGAGGACTTAAGAGAAACACTTATTTAACTGAAAGTCTAGATACTTTCTCTTTAATGATATAGGACTTCAGTGAAGAGGAAAGTTACTGGAATTATTAGTCTAGGAGAGCTTATTAGAGTTGGAAATGAATACTGCTACAGAGCTGGAAAGCATAACCATTGGAAATATCTAATACTACAGATGTTTAAACACATCTGTTGGACCTTCATTTAGGAGTTGTGTTACATCCCAGCAGTTCTTCAAGGTCTTACAAGTAGTATTTGTACCTGATAATAAGTAAGTAAATAGTATTTTTTTTACATAAAGAACTTTCTTTTGAATGAAAAGACAAGTTTAGCACACATATCAGATGAATCTCAGCTCCTTTATGACTTCTGATGGTTTATCTTCTGGTGCTTTGCCTTTTCTGTCAGCAAGATGCAATTAGTCACATAGAAGGTGACCACAATGTGAAACACTGGCAGAAGTCTTTTCTGCTACATTTCTTTTGTTATGGGACTGACTGTTGTTTTAATAACAGATGAATTCAAGAAATTATCCGTGTCAAGGAATACAGACATGTTTTCACAGACTCTGCTCTTGCAAACGAGACCCAAAACAACCAGTCAGATCAGAGATGTTTTACATGGAAATAAGATTCTGTTGGTGGCTGTTTACTTTATTGGTGTCTCTTACTGGTTAAACTGTGTGACACTGTTGTAGTTAGCACGTTAACAATATTAAACTGACATGTTATTAGTGCAGTGGGCTCAGCTATACAAGTGAAAAATTTATCTGGAACCCAGAGGAAGCTTCAGGTTTAATTGCTGACCATACTTTGGTCAGGAAATCACTGAAGATCTCAAGAGTGTGAATGCCGTCTTTTTTAATTTACTGGTTTGGAATGTCTTCATATCTTTAAAGCATGTTATTTCTTTCTAGGGAACGTCAAGATGCAGATGGACAAATGAAAGAGCTTCAAGACCAACTCGAAGCTGAACAGTATTTCTCGGTATGTTTTGTGCTGCTTTATTTTTATACTAATCTGTTTACTGAGTAAATGTTATCTTTTCTTCTTCCTCCTTAGCCATGAGCTGTTTCACATCTCTAACCCAAAGCTACTTGTTTCTCTCGTGCCTGTCTTCAGTGTTGTCTGCAGCCTTGATCTTGATCACTGAGCATATAAAAGAGCTCCGGTTAAAAAATGTCCCAGCTTTGTAAGGGAGTTCAGAGGGAGGGAGGAGGCAAGCAGCCCCCTTTTCCACAGTGTGAATAATTTTCTGCGTGTTTCCAGCCTTTTGCATTCAGCATCTCTTCCATGCTGCATGGTAGAGAAGAGTTGTATTCTCACATGGTGTGACAAAACATGACATTAAGGCTTGGAAGGAAATTTTTGCATTACAGCCAAACTTGGTAGAGGTCTGTTAGGAGTTTTTGATTGATTGTGGTAACCTACAATAAAATAAATAGATATTGTACTTAAAAATCATTACTAGCTTGTGGAGGTTAATTTTTATTAACAGTGCACAGCCAGTTGCACTGCAGGAGATACCAAAAGACTTGTTTCAGAATTAAAGGAAACTAAAAATTTCATTGTGGTATTCAGGTCAGTGAGGAGAACGACCATCTAAAGTTTTAGTAGATGAAAACATTGCACACATTAAAGGAGAGAAAGGGAGAATTGAGGTCAGTTGACTGTTGTAGATGGGCCAGAGAGAGACAATCTGTCTTGAAATCTCTGCAGTAAGTCCACTTACAGCTGTCTGTCACTTGACCTGTATTCAGTCATTTGAGTGGACAGAGCAATATAATGTTTCTTTCATTTTTTTAGAGCTCTAGATTTGTATCAATTTCATGAAATTTTGAATTTCAAATTATTTTCTAATCTATTTTTCCCTTCCTCCTGTATTTCTTTTTGTTCTTTAACTGTCACATGGCTTTCATGGATTTGTATGATTAGAATCTAAACAGCCCGCACCTAATTACATCAGGCAAAGATTTAAAATAGTAGAGAAAAATCAATTCATTTTCCTTGCTTCTGATACTTCCAATTTTCTATCAAATAGTGATTTTCACATTTAGAGTATCTTTAACAGTATGTTTACAAACATAGAAAATGTATATCATACATCTACCCATTCACAAATATACAAGTTAAAAAAAGAACAACAAAAAGTAAAATAACCAAAACACATTTGTGAATGATGACATTTGTATAAGTTTAGAGAAGGCATTGCATAGTTACACTCTAATTAGAGTGTGTGATTAAAGAATTGCATACAATGTCATCTTGTATAATTTTTGTGGACTTTCAAGAATATAGAAAATCACATAATTTTCTTGCTAACTTTTAATTCTAGACTTTGTATAAGACACAAGTTCGAGAACTTAAAGAAGAATGTGAGGAAAAGACCAAAATTTGTAAAGAAATGCAGCAAAAGATACAAGAGTTACAGGATGAGAGGTAGGTTTTGCTAGTTGTACTACTAATACATAAAATATTAAGATGGCTATTTGTTGTTTTCTTCCCTGCCCTTGCCCCCACCCCTACATTACCCAATTTAAAGTTAAAAATATATATCAATAATTTGCAGAGATTCCTTGGCTGCTCAGCTAGAGATTACTTTAACAAAAGCAGATTCAGAACAACTTGCCCGTTCCATTGCTGAAGAGCAGTACTCTGATTTGGAAAAAGAGAAGATTATGAAAGAGCTGGAGATTAAAGAGATGATGGCAAGGCATAAACAGGAACTTACTGAGAAAGATGCCACCATAGCCTCGGTGAGTTTTATGATTTGTAATTTTGGTAGAGGTTGTAGAGCTTGAGTTTTGTTTGCAGTTTGAGTTATCCATTGTTATTTAGCATACTCAGAGATATACAAGAGATATATCTAACATTTTTAAAATATTTATTTTTTATGATTGAAATTCAAAAATCTTGTCATGTTTCTTCATGCATCTTTCTGACTATTCATTCTTCTGTGCCCCTACCCCTCTTTTTCTAGTTGGAGGAAGCAAATAGGACACTAACCAGTGATGTGGCTAATCTTGCTAATGAGAAAGAAGAACTAAACAATAAACTGAAGGAAGTACAAGAACGTATGTATTCTGTGAACCAAATGTACTTTAATTTGAAACCAGTTTTATTCTTTAGTAGTTTTCTTTTGTAATGAGTTTTCATAGAATTTTTTCAATTACCTTGCTACAGAAATTACAAAACTAAAAGAAGAAGAAGCAAATATAGGAAATATTAAAGCACAATTTGAGAAACAGTTGTTGACTGAAAGAACATTAAAAACCCAGGTAAGCAAATGTGTTTAAATGAATGGAGAGATAGTGTTCATGAATCAAATAATTTATAATAGAAAACTTTCCACGGTAAACTATTTCTGTGTACCATTAACGCTTTATTTGTTTTTGCCCTGAAAAAAAAGTACTGATTTTCTTCTTTCTTCTACTAAGTAGACTTTCATTGTAGTGAAACTGGATCCTTGTGATTCATCATAGAGGAAATTCTAATCCAGATGCATTCCACCAGCAAAAGTCTTCATTTCTCTCAAGTTATTTGATATTTTGCTGGTTTCAGTCTTGATTCCTCTATAAGTTCTATAAAGAAGTATATTTCTGATTTTAATCCAGATTGGTTTTTAGAACAAGTGGCATTTTAATGCAAATATATATTTTGGGTCTAACTAGTGAAAATGGAGGGGATTATTTAAATGAGATGAGTGGAAGTGTTCACAGCTAATGCTTTCTTAAAGTAAAAGTGGCATCATTACCTTCTTTTCAGTTATGAGTAATACATGGAATTAAAGCAAGTTTATATTACTGGATTACAGAGGTGTTAGTTTACAGTTAGAAGTGCCTGGTTGTAGACAGAAGACTTTATTTCTTCACAACATAACTCTGTGTATTTATTAGTGTGGTTTTTGTCTCTTTTTTCTTTCCCATGGAAAGGCTGTGAATAAATTGGCTGAGATCATGAATCGGAAGGGTCCAGTCAAACGTGGATCTGACACTGATGTACGGCGGAAGGAAAAGGAAAATAGGAAGCTGCATATGGAACTGAAATCTGAACGAGAAAAGTTAACCCAAATGATGATCAAATATCAGAAAGAAATAAATGAAATGCAGGCAGTAAGATCCTTTTACAAATATAAACATTGCAGCATTTTCTGTAGTATTGTAGTATTGATACAGACTTTAAGGTAGTGTATCCCATCTCTATTCCTGAATTTCCCACAAACAAAAGAAATATGCAGAATATATATTGAGATTGGCTACAAATTCTACATGATTTTCTACTTACATTTTATCTGAGTAACCAAATATTGGGATAATAGGAAATCTTGTAATTTATCCCTACAGCAAATTGCAGAAGAGAGTCAGATCCGGATTGAACTGCAGATGACTCTGGACAGCAAGGACAGTGACATTGAACAGCTTCGTTCCCAGCTGCAGTCCCTGCACATCGGGCTGGACAACAGCAGCATTGGCAGTGGGCCTGGAGATGCTGAGGCAGATGATGGATTCCCTGGTATGTTAATCTTAATAATATTTCTGCATTAACTGGGTTTATATCAATGTTTTACCATGGAAGCTGATGATCTGATGATTCTGTGACTTTTCATCTTCATCTATTTTATACCATCTTATCAATCCTTTGATAGGGATCACTGTCCACCTACTAACTAAATCTGTCTGTAATCATACTTCATCTTGAAATTTATTTTTAAAAATTCTATTGCACACCATTAGAGCTAAATATTTTTTTCACTTGTGATGGTTCCTTTGCAGTTACTGTGTTTATGTGATGAAATATAAAACTAATACTCTCTTCATAGAGATTCTGTTTTGACTTCTTTTCTACTTTTCCTCCTTTATGCTTTATGTTTAGTCCGTATCACTCAATCCCACACTATGGAATCCATGTCCTTTACCTATCAGCACTCTTCCACCTCTGTCAGTATTGCCACTAAGCCTTCCAGTTCTCGCATGCTTCTTGATTCTGATTCTGACTCAGAGGAAGAACCTTTGTCTTGTTCCCACAGTCCTACAGAAGTTGATAGCACAGGTGACATGCCTGAGAAGTGTGGCTTTGTTCTTACTGTGTCCTTTTTTCTAACTGTGTCCTTTAGAACTAACACTCTAAATGCATTATGAAAACAAAGAAACATAAATCTGGCAGTTAACACACTAAACTGACAGTAAATATTGCCATCAAAGACACGAGAAAGTTTGCATAAACAAATAAATGGCCTGTTTTCTCTAAACGTTTGCAAATACTTGCTGCCATGTCTTAAACCGCCATTTTTATTAAAGCATTGAATAAATGAGCCTTATGGCCTTGTTTTCAAGGTAGCCTCTCTCCAGTGTCTGCAGCTATGTGTATGGCTCTAAGGTACTGGATACCAAAAAGTCGAATTTTTGTGTTAAAGTGAAGTATGGAAACATCTGACTCCTCACATTTGTCATCTTCTTGTAGAAATTCAATCTTCTGAGTATTACATTGTTTTGCCTTAATTTGAATCTTATATATGATTCTCTTGTGGTAAGGCAAGCAAGATTTGTTAATTTTCCCAGATACATAAAGTATATAATGAATGATAAGACTCCAGTAAAACAGAGCTCTGTTCTACTAATTCTATGTTCATTTTATACGACTGCACCTACACTCTTTCGAACAAAGCTTCTATTTACTGTTAAATGTCATAGGTAGGTTTTTTAGTTGCATTCAAATTCCTGTATGTCACTTGAGGTTCCTTTAAAGTGTGAATACCTTTCCACTGAAGGCAAAACTTCTTTTAGGATATCGACATAAAAGAAAAGTTATGTACATACATAATTTTTTTCTTGTTAGCTGCTGTCGTGGTTTGTGCATGGATTTGTTTTGTTCTAAAGTAGAAATCATATCTAAGCTAGGACTTCTTGCTGACATAATTACAACAGGTTTGAGGTATGATCGTTGTGTTTTGTTGTTTCTTTCCCTCCTATTGCTTTATAAGCATGTACTGTGAAAATTTTTGAATATTCTGTCCTTTCTCTGATCTGTAATCATTGAAGAATTATAATCAGAAACTCATTTTGTCCAATTTCGTGCAATGGTATTAGAGATTACAGAGAAAAATAGGAAAAACATTATATTTTAGGAAATAAGAAAAACATGCATACTTTTTGACCTACACATGATTCCTGGATGTGGGGTAGGATTTTTTTTCATCAGCATTATGCTTGCTACACTTTGTATCAGGTGTAGTTGAAAGGAACAACATAAGTGGCAGGTATGAGGCAAAATACATTTTATAGAACTGCATCATGTACTCAGTACATACATTAAAATGGGTTATCAACAGCAATGCTGGTAGAGCAATAAATGTTGAAGACTGTGTATCTGAATACATAACCTTGCTTCAAGTCTCTCTAGGCACAATAACAATTCTATGAATATCTAATAACTATTTGTTATGCTATGTTAAACAGGGGCAGGAACCTGCAAATGCCCTCTGGTGAGAAAGAAAATAACATTTGCAATTTTGGAGCATGTTTTTGCTCCTTCCATGGTTTTGTGTTTGTTAATGCTTAAGGCTTCATTATTTTTGACTTGGAGATTCCTCAGCAGCAGTACAGGTTATCTGCTAGGGTAGAAAACCCTTTGGAAAAATATTATTCCAATTGAGTAATTGCTCCTAATAAAACAGAGGGGAAAGAAGTGCTTGTGTTAAGTGCAGCTATAAAAATAGGGTCAAAGGCTATGTGATCCTGTGTATCACCCACCACTGAGAAAGTGTGATCCTGGTGAGCTTTTGGTTGTGTCAGTACTATAGTTACTACTGTAAATGTGTGTGTCAAGCAACAGCTGAGCACTTAATACTGTTGATAAATCAAATCTGACTAATGTGGCAGTGTAATATAAAATATTGCAAGTGTGTGAAAGGGCAGTTGAATTCAGGCAAGGCCTAAGGATTAACTAAAAATTACTTATTTTGGATTAGAAAGCCTAGGAGATACAGGCAGAATTAGAGAAAAGAAAAATTTTCAGACCAAAAAGTATGAATTAGAATACTAAACTGACATTTTCCCCGACATGGGTTATTTGTGGTGGTAATTTGCCTTTTTTTGTCTTGAACTGGATGTTTTGTGGTCGGTACTAATACCTTTAGATGCTGTTGTAAAAGGTAAAGGTTGATAGACATAAGGCTTTTATGACTTGAAAAAATTACTAAGGGGAATGTGTGTGCTACAATTGCAAGTTTGCTCTTTCCCTTCCTCCTCGTGCTTACTACTTTTTGGTGATTGCATTGCTGGTTACTGGCTGTATTCATTAAAGATTATTTAATGTATTCCTGAACATTTACTGGGCTAAACTTTGCAAGACCTTGTACTGTTAAATAGGTCTTATGTTTGCTCTGTTGCTTTATTATTGATCTTCAATAACTATTTTAAAATGCACAGTAGTCTCAAAAATGATGTTTTGTGAATATTTATGTTCTTTAATATATATATCTATTTCAGAATCAAGATTGGAAGGCTGGCTATCACTGCCTGTTAGAAATAACACTAAAAAATTTGGATGGGTTAAAAAGGTAAGAAAACCAGATTTCTGGTCTTGTTTCATGCATAGTCTGGATTTTAATCTGAATGCAGATTTTCAACACTTCAATTTTTATTTGATATGTGTTCTCTCATTACTTAAATGTATAAAATATGTTAGCTGGGATAGCTACCTCTGAGGGGAGCAGCTTAGGACAATTTTAATATGTTAAGACATTTCTTTGTCCAGCCAGAGGTGAGAACAATCATTCTTGGTCTTCCTGATGTTTATACATGGCAGCTGTAAGCATTCCCAACAGTATTTCATAGCTGAAATTCAGCAGAGTTTGGAAGCCTTTGACAATTTCTTTATTTAGGAGATAAAACTAGCAACTACTTATCTGCCTTGTGCAGCCTTCACTTGTTTACTGCTTCTCAGTAACGTCTTTGATGGGTCTTTGTCCAAAACGTAACATACACATTTTCATACCAGTTTGCTTACTGCTCAGTCATACTGTTAATTCTAGCCAAAATCCTAGAAATAGGGCATCTTCTAGGTAATTAGGTTTTTAATGAATATTGCTGGCTGTTCTGGTAAGTATAATAGTGATCTTTTTAGGTATGATCCCTATTAGTTGTGACCTGCACACAGTCATCATAAGATGACACTGACTCTACCAGTTCAAGTAAAAATTAAATCAATAAAATAGAAAGGAAAAACTTTTATCTTACTTTCTTCCAGACTTTAGATTTGTCTCTTCACAGATACTTAAATCTGTTTAGGTATCAATTAGTCTGATAACATATATTGATTTATCCAGTAATCAGGATTTCGTTTGTTGTGCAGTGAATTTCTTGGCAAATCACGGACTTAGCATACAGTACTGTTATTGTTTATTTAGGTACCATTTAATAAAATAATAGAAAAATATCAATGCAACATCTGTGGTAATTGCTGTAACATCTCTGACCTCTGTGATGAGCTGGATTAAAACGTATATTTTATCATTTTCTGTCTCCTAACAGTATGTAATTGTAAGCAGTAAGAAGATCCTGTTCTATGACAGCGAACAAGATAAAGAACAATCTAATCCCTATATGGTATTGGATATAGAGTAAGTACTGCCATGTGTGATTCCTTCTTCTGATTTGCAGGTGAATTTTGTTGAAATGATTGTGACCAAAGGCCTTTTGAGGTCCAGTCTGGGATCACAATGTCACATGGGCCATTTTTTTTTTTTTTAATTTGAACTACAGAGCTGGGCCCTTAGGGTACCCACTGTGGGAAAGAGTTGGGTTTGCTGTAGGCACTGGTGCAGCAGCAGCAGCATGGTGCTCAAACTGATCCAGGGAACTCCACTGAGCCTGATGTAACTGAACTGCTCCCACGAGCTCAGCTAGACCTTCCTCACATGCACATGGGAGCAAAACATGATTAGAGAACTGTAGCAGAGAGGCTATAATTTTCAGTGTTCTATATTTTCTCTTACATGTCCTTACAGGTGGGTTGTATAGTTAATTAATTTTCTTAATAAATGCAGTATGTGTGTATTCAGAGGTTGGAGCGCAGGGAGAGGATTATGTTAGAAAGCTGCCAGCAATCATTAAAGTCACATGATGGTGGTTTTATTTATCAGTGCTGCTATTTTTTTTTGCAAATATAGCTGGATTCTTGTGAGTTCTTTTTATTTAGGGTTTTGGGAGTTCATGTGCAGGGTTGAAAGATAGGACTGGATCAAGTGATGAGAAATTTGTACTGACAAATCTTTAATGGCTCTAAGTCTTAATGTGTATGCTAACTTAATCTGTCAACTTAAATTTATTATTTTGGTAACATTCATTTTTGTCCTTATTGAAATAATTTCCTATAGCAAACTCTTCCATGTCCGACCAGTCACTCAGACTGATGTGTACAGAGCAGATTCCAAGGAGATTCCAAGGATATTCCAGGTATCCGTTAATAAATTAATGTTTCTAGTGTAACAGACATGGTATTTCACACATTGTCAAAAATATTGTCTAATGAAATATTTACTAAAAAATTATTGAAAAATCACTTCTGTTGTAATTCTTCAATCTTTCTACTTAGATAATTACTCTGAATTTACATTTGCCATCTAGGAGTACTGAGATTATTTTGCTTTGATTCTAGATTCTATATGCTAATGAAGGAGAGAGCAAAAAGGAACAGGAATTTCCTGTGGAGCCCATGGGAGAGAAGTCAAATTACATTTGTCACAAAGGACATGAGTTTATACCTACTCTTTACCACTTTCCAACCAATTGTGAAGCTTGTATGAAGCCACTGTGGCATATGTTTAAACCTCCTCCTGCTCTGGAATGTCGCCGCTGCCACATCAAATGTCACAAAGATCACATGGATAAAAAAGAAGAGATTATAGCGCCTTGCAAAGGTAAATAGCAAGTATTTGAATATGCATATGGTGCTGGAGTCACAAAGCATTCTGATAGGTCAGAGGATTCTAGTAATGGTCTGACACCAACTAAACGTAAGCAGGTCAGTTTTTCTTTTATTAATATGTAACCATCAACACCTTTCCGAGGGTGTCTCTGCGAGGGTCACTCACTGCTGTGAGTTAATGGCATGTGACCATGATACCTCTGTACCTGTTGTGTTGGCAGCCTCATGCAGTAAAGCAGGGTGCTTGTAAGGCTGCTCACACTGTGTTGTGCTCTTTGTGTTAGTGGGTGTTACGGAAGAGATGACATTTGGTGAAGGTTACGCATTGTGACTCAATGTTATATAATTTTTTGGGCTCAGGCACCCACTCTTCCATAGTACTAAATTGTACTCTCTAAATATAAGGAGGAAGTACTGCCAGCAGCCAGGAAACTTAATTTGGCAAAATCTGGTTCATTTTCTTTTGATTTCACTGTGTTGACTCTGAGAGTACCATAATCTGACAACTAATGTTGGGACGTGTTTAGAATAATAACAGTATTCATTTTTATTTTAAAAATTATTATTACAGTGTACTATGATATTTCTACGGCAAAGAATCTACTACTGTTAGCTAATTCCACGGAAGAACAGCAAAAATGGGTGAGCCGACTGGTGAAAAAAATACCCAAGAAGCCTCCAGCACCAGACCCCTTTGCTCGATCTTCTCCCAGAACTTCCATGAAGGTACAGCCAAACCAGTCCATCAGACGACCAAGTCGACAGCTTCCTCCAAACAAACCAAGGTGACACAAGGGCTGCTATTTAAGTTATTGCTTTAAACGTTTTACTACAATCAATGTCATATAAGTTAATAAGAATAATTGACCACAAATGTTGTTGGCTAGTGACGTGTGATCTAGCATATAATCTTCTGTAAACCTCAGTTAAGTTACAAAAAGGTCCACTAGAAGATCCACCATGTTTGTTCCCTTGTTCGAAGGACCTTACATTACGTGTTAGTTAACTCTACCATATTGATAATATATCCTATGGCTCTTACCTGTAACAGGCAGAACTTGTACTGTCATCTGTGGCCTAATACTTCCTGTGAACTGATAGGGAAAATGGTGTTTAACCAGGCAGAGTCAGTGAGAAGGGGTGTGAAGATTTAAAAAAAAAAAAAAAGTTTAAAAATTTTCAATGTGACCACTACAGTACCTGATTTGAAGTTGAGCAATGATGTTAGGTGTTTGTGGTTCTGATGAACCTTGGAGAGAATTAGGTGCCTTCAAAAAGCAGACTAGAAGGCCTTACGTGTCACAGAAAAAACTACCTGTACTTCATTTCTTATTGCTCAGTTCTGAGGCATGTGTTTAAATTCCTGCCCTGCTCTAAAGTTAGACAGTTGATTGGGGATCTGTATGTTTATGTGTCTTTCATCTGACCAAATGTATTTATTTCCGTGTCTGACTCCATTTAGGAAGAGTTTTGTCAGGGTTCTTGTCCTAGTGTACAAAAGGAGCACGCAGCTGATATGGCGAATCTCACTTCTGTGTCTCTGCCCACACGGGTTCCACAGTGTGGAGCCTGTTGCTGTAGTGGCAGGCACCTGTCTGAGCATCACTTGTACTTTTTGAAAGAGAGCAGGAAGATGGGAGGCAGAGGGTCACTCTTTGGTCAAGTCATTTACCCAAAGGGTGAGAGAATTTGGTTTCAATTCCTTATTCAGCCTAGAAGAACTCATGCTCATGTCTCATGATTCCTAAAAGTGATAGCATTCTGCAAGTAGCATTTATGTGATTGCACAGTACAGGGTTTCTGGTTTTCTTCCAGTGTACCTTTTTCATGACCTGCAGCACTAGCTAATATTGTGCTTCTATCAGTCCCCAGTTGCTGGCAGCCTGTGAAAAGATGGGCCTGACTTGTTTTGTTTGTTACAGTATTCCAGCAGCAATGGACAGTTCAGCAAAGGCTTAACATTTTTCTCCAGAAAGGTAATTTGGCAGTGGCTAGACAGGATTGCTGTCCTTGTGTCTGTGACCAGACTGGCACCAGTGTCTCAGCTGGCTGGGTGAGAACAGGGTTGGTTGAGTTGCCAGAGTTACAAGGGGGAATGCAGGGAAGTGCTTGCTGTGATGCTGCTGTTACTCCAAAACATCCTTATGCTGCGAAGAGTTACATCTTAAACAAATATTGGTATTTTAATGGGTGGAAATGCATAGTGAAAGGACTTGAAGAAACTTAATTTTACTTCCCTCCTAACTTTCATGCATTTTTGGTGATTTAATTTACATATTTAAAAGAGTCAGACCTCATAATTTGGATTTTAAATGAATAGATTTTTTTTTATTATAATCATGAAGGAAAAAGGGTTTTAATCACTTTTTAGGGACCCATTATTGAAGAGTTTCTTTGTGCAAAACTAATGAAAATATCAATGATAGGATTGAAGCACAAATCAAGGAAACATTCATGACAACTTGGAGGACAAGCAGAATGCTTTTCTTCTGTATGGTGTTTACAGTCTAATTTAGTAGCATTATTCTGTTTCTTACTGTTAATATGTAAAGGTGTATTATAAATTCTGATTCTTTTTCAATAGCTATTCTTAGATGTTCTGAAAATAATTTTTCTCCTTCGAACATCCTTTTTTCAATCTTCATGACCTTTTCTACAAAATGGTATAATAACACAGTATTTACTCTACCATTCTATACTGGTGGAAAAAGGGGGAGGATGAATATTTTTGTATGTAAACCATTTTACTTTTTCGGTTAAAGTTTCCAAGTTAGCTTTGCAAATGTACCTAACAGATGAAAAGTGTAGCTCTCTGAGGTCATGTCACCTACCACCTTACTAATGCAGGTCTGTCAAAACAGTGGAAATTTGTGTGGATTTAAACACCTTTAATTAAGAAACCACATACTCATAAATTACTGTAATGGCTATGGCCAATTTATATCTGACTGGTGCTTCTATGAGGCTTTTGTGGAAGGGCTTACCATATGGAATAATTAATTTTCCTTTATGAACTTTATTAAGAATGAAGATGGGGACAAGCAGTGGGTCCTGGCAGCAGGGCAGGCTCTGGGACTGCACCAAAAGGAGCACAGCCAGATGATTAAAGGAAAAGGTTATCCACCTCTGTTCACTCCATAGTCTGCAGCAAGGTAGTGCCTCTGTGTCTGAGCCCTGAAATTCCAGCTAGACATTGACACAGCGGGGAAGGACCAAGCAGAGGCCACCAGGATGGTCAGAGCAGATGCTTGAGGAAGCTGGGCTTGTTCAGCCCAGATGAAGGACATCTCCAGGGACTGTCATAGCAGCCTGGCGTGGCCTGTAGGGAGGGTATCCAAGAGACAGAGCCAGGCTCTGCAGTGCTGCATGGTGGGAGGGTGAGAAACAAGGGGCTCACTTGAACCAAGAGACTTTCCAGCTGGATAGAAGGAAAAGCCAATGCAGGGAGGCAGGCTGGTGAGGTTGGACAGGCTCCATCCCTGGAGGCTTCCAAGACCTGACAGGACAAGGCCTTGAGCATCCTGGGCTGGCCTTGTAGCTGCTTTGAGCAGGAGATTGGGCTAGAAACTTCACGAGCTTCCTTCCAAGCTGCATGGTCCTAAAAACGCTGTCCCTCCTAGGAATATCACACAGTGATTGTTTCTCTAAGGTTTTCATGGCTGTTGTTCTTTGTGATGATTTAAGAAAGGGCAAACCAGATTTTCCTACAGACCATATAATTTCTGTTTAGCTGTCTGTTCAATCGTGTCAAAAGAATAATTTCATATTGAAAAAAAATCAACTTTAATATATTTTAATTCCTAATTAATTCTTTAAGTTTTATAGCTGTAGTTTATATAACAAATTAATATTGAGCCTTTTCAGGGCTCTATCACATTTAAAGGTTTAAATAGTTTAAAACTTTAAAACCTGAAAATGCAAATCCTCCTGAAACCCATTTTGTTTAGAGCACGTGATTAACTATATTAAACAGTGTAGTCTGTTTACACTGATGCTCTGTTAGAGTAAGGTTTCTATGTCTGCCTCCTATGCTCGGCATATAATCCTGATTAAAAGTCCTTTGAGCTCACTGAAGAGGTGACTAGACTGGGTTTCATTTCTTGTAGCTATAGCAGTTGAGAAGTTACTACTTAAGATATTTATCTAAGATGCTTCAATAACTACAGAAAGAGATGAATGCTTCTAGACAATGATTCACTCCATCCCAAAACAAATGTCTTAAATAAGTAAAATGACTCATTTGCTGACAGAGTTTGCCTTGCTTGCTTTCTTTGTTCTATAGTGACCATAGAAGGAGCACAGACAGCAAGGCCCAGAGAACAAGTTGATATATCCTCTTTTTTGGCATTGCTTAGATTTAAGCCATGAGCTACAGAATAGCTGTGTAGTGTAATCACGCTGTATTTGGGATACAGTAAAATAATGTTGTATTTTGTATGTTTAGAGGAAGGTTTCTTATTCATTGTTCTGTTCAGCAATCAAAATTACTTGATTTTTTTGGAAAAATTGTTAGCTTTGCATTATTGTCTGGAAAGGGATAAAAGGAGAGCATAAAACCACCTGAGTCAACAAGAACAGCAGCAAAACAGAAAGCAGCTAATTTTATAAAATGTACTTGTTGGTTTTTCCTACTGAAATGTTTTTGGGGAAAAAAATCAATATGGTAAGTGTTTTATATTGAATTAAATGATTTTTGAGATGAATTTTCAATGAGTACAATATTCCTAGCTTACGTGAACACTAACTGAATCTTGATATTCTGTGATAGACAAAGGAACAAACCCATCTACCTAAAATAGTCTTTTAGTTAAAAAGGTTTAATGATAACAAAAGGAATTTAGAAGACTTTCATAGAAGTGTGACACTTATTAAACATCAAACCCTCCTGTTGCAGATTACTTGATCTGGCATTTAAGGACTGGGATTGGTCATTTGATGATGTTGATGATATTGATGGTGATGATGATGACGATGTTTTTGATTTCTGAAGAAGTATAAGGGGTAAATCAAAATAGAGAGGAATGGATTTGTTTGCCTTTGAATACAGCATGCTATGTTGGATTTTGTTTCTCAAAGCGGAGAAAATACAAGATCTCATTTTAATATTTTAAACAGTGAAAATGAGATTCTGTTCATGATGGTGAACTTTTAGAGGAGTCATTTTCATTTGAACAAGTTGTTGCCTTTGTCAGTGTTTTCATTTTTCTAATTTTAGATCTTTTTTTCCCAAATTCATGTCTGCCTGCCTGAAAAAAAACCTTGCTGTTGTCAGAGTCGTTGCTCATCTATAATGCTAGTACTTCTAACCTCAGCAGAGAGTATTTGAAGGATAAAAGGAAGATAGTAGCAGTTGGATGTTTAGCTGAAATAGACTTAGCATTTACAAATACTTTTCATTTTTAAACTTTTAATATAAACTGACTGATCTATGGCTAGCAGACATGAAATCACTGGAGTTCTGCATTTTGCTTTTCTACCTGTGTTCTGAAGTGAATTTGACTTGGCTTTCTTTTGCAGTGCTGTGCTTTCTGGGTACCTAACCATGCATTTGAAAATTATGTAAACAAACGGGCTTTGCAGCTTCTGTGATGTGGTTTCCTTGACTGCTTTAGGAAAGATCCGGCCATTGCAATGATTTAATTTGTCCCACGGCTTAATTGTGAATGCACTGGAAATAGCGTTACCTATTTTATAGATCTCAGTTTAATCATTTTATATGTTGATGCAATCTTACATTTACACAGAAAAAAACCTCTAAATGTTAAATGCCTAAGAATTCTTTCAAACAGTATGTGAGGTTTGTCTCAGCCATGTAAAAGGGGCGATGGCAGCAGCACTGAGGCTGCACCTCAGCTGTGCTCAGGGAACTGAGACACCAGCTCCTGTGGAATTAACCAGCTTAGTGTTCACAGTAACAAGCATTACGTTAATTAAATATACTGCATCTTTATGTATTAAAAGCTCACAAGTCACTAATCTTTTAGAAGTGACTATTACATTGTGCATATTGTACCCTCATATATTATAAGGGGGTTTAACTGATTTGGGATCGTAATGCCTAAGGATGTACTGTCCTTAAGTAACAATGCTGTTGGATGCATTTCTCCCAAGTATGATGATGAGCCCATCTTAAATTAAGACTTTGAAGAAGTATGTTTTTGTCAGATTTACATTTGTTGCATTTACTGACCAACGTTCCTGCTTCTTTTTCAGCTAACTGCTTTCCGTGAATGCAGACACGGTTCAAGGTGATAATTTTCTTCCCATTACAGCAAGACTGAAACATATCCCAAAATATATTAAAAATATATATTTTCTGAGAGATTGTGCTATATATATCAGAGGTTTACATTTTTGCTGCAATATAAATTACTAATCTCTGAGGGTTTTCCTGTATTCTCCCAAGTGACTGATCAATTGAGGAATGGTTGGCAAATAGTAAAAGGATATGTTAGGTAACCTTTTAAACTCTGTTCCACAAAAGCTTTCTTGGCAAGACACATACACTACATTTCATTAAAGGATCGAGAGGAATGAATATTAAAATGGAAGAAACTGACTTCTCAGCTTTTGTAAAGATGCCACCAGCACGTCTGCAAGTAGAACCGGAGGAAGATCCACCATAGTGATATAGACTGCATCTGTAAGAAGTGACCATTATACTGTGTATATATATTGTACTGTAATACTGCAAGAGGGTTTTAAAAATCTTTCCACTTTATTTTTTTATGCTTATTAATCAGATACCGTTACTTATTGCAGTTGCAACTATGCACTTGTATAAAGCCATACTGTTGAAGTTTATATCATTCATACACGTCTATCAGAAGCTGCATGTCAGTGTTCAGCAGCTAGTATAGGTTTGAAGTATATACTAATTTCAGCTATACGTCATCATGGGCAGTCCTGTTTTACCTGTCTAATTGCCTTAATTTAAACTTTTTTCAATTTTTTTTTGCCCATTCTTTCTATTTAAGGAAAAAGAAAGTTTACCGGCTCTTAGAATGCAATTTTGCTTTGTGGCAGAAAAAATAGTGCACTATTTTTACACCTAGTTAAGTATATCAATGTCAGCCTATTTTGAATGTATATCGACTGGTTTTAAGGGTGGAGAAGTGTTGGTTACAGAAACAATGTCGGAGAGCATTGGAATTACCAGACCATTTGCTTGTACATGTAACTGCTCATCCAGCCCTTTTTACGAACCTCAATACTAGTTATTGACTTATATTAACCCTCATTAAGTGCTATGAAACTTCATTTTGCCTTGTTTTTGCATACTCTCCTAGATGTGCTTTTTTTTTATTTCTGGAAAGAAAAAGAATCTGTGACTATTTTTACATTTCACAACACAATATCCAAGGACTGTCACAAACTTTAAGAAAAGTAAAACATACTGTAGATGTATTTTAAAGTTTTAATCTGGTTCTCTAGCACATAGCTGTAGGCATAGATAAATATTTCAGTAGTGTGTTTTGAGAACTGATAGCTGGGAAGAAAGGGCCTCAGAGGCACTTAATCTGACTTCTTTTTTTTTAACTTGGAGTTGTACAAAAAATATAATTTATGTGGGCTCATTCATGATGTGTTCATAATTATCCCAGGAAATGCATGTTTTATACAACTACAGTATGCGATGTTAAACATATTGACAGTAAAAAATATAGTCTCCTATTTGGTCTCTTTATATATATATAAATATATATATATTTAAAATATATATATATATAAAATATTGTGTGGGAGTGCAGTAATTTAAAATATGATCTAACACTTCAATGAAGGAGGACATTTCACTTTAAAATTTTGTTTGTTTTTGTTTTTTAAAGAGTGTTGAAATGTTTGGAAGGATAGGACCATGGTTTATTTAACACTATCATGAAAAGTGAACTTGGAAACACTGAAATACTGAAAATTAAAAAATATATTTACATTTTGTAACCTCTACTACAGTTCAGCTTAACAGAGCCAGAATGTATTCAGTCTTCTATTTATGCACTCACAAAGTAAAATGTTGTTTGTGAGTTCTTAAAATCGAAGCTAAAACTTTCATATCATTTTTTATTAGGTATTCTAACCCAGCGCACAGCTACAGTGTTTTTTCCCTGCTTGTTTTGATTTACAGAAGTACGGTATATTTTTAGGTAATGCAGATATGCATAGAGAACAACATTAAAAATGTATACAGTAAAACTGTTTCCATTCACTGAATGCATAAATATTTTATATATATATATAAAAAAATGTTACATTGTGGGAAGTTCTATCCTTTTCTGAATTGGAGAATATTATATATATATTTTTAAATAAACTATTTGAGTAAGGTAAAATAGTTCCTGAACTTGAGAAGCTGGTAATTAATTGAATTTAATTATAGAGGCAACTACTGCGGCAGACATGGGAAAGGCAAGGACAAAGCCTGTGTGAGGAGGGAGCACAGACTCCAGGGGAGCTGTTTGGCAGTTCCTCTGCTGCTGGGGCTGGATCCATTGCACTTTTCTCTCCCTGGCCTGCCCTCATTTACTGTTAATCCCTGGGGCCCTGTTAAGCCTGACATTTCAGGAAATGTACTATATTATAGTATTTACTGGCCCCAGTTTATACATTCTGTGCATTTATACATTACAGCAGGCTGTACTGAGATGGTGTCGTAGAGCAATACAGGCTGAGAGAGAGCACTGGAGGTCCTGTGCTCTGACCTCTTCCTCAGAGCAGGGCTAACTTAGCACCGGTTCCTCAAGGCCAGTGGTATGATGTGTATGAACCTTGATTTGTACACAGGACACAAAAGGCAAAGCTGCTCCTCTGTTCTTCTCACTTGTCCTGCTGTGAAATGCAAAGAACTCTTAAATGCCAATTCCTGGAGATTGTGTTGTTTCCTTATTGTCCAGTGGTGACCTTTTAACATTTTTGAGAGAAGGGTATATTCATGAACTAAAGCATATTTGTCTTGAAAGCCACAGATGTTTAAACACTTTCATTTTGTAACAGGGTTGTCCCAGCAAATGTCCTGTTGTCCCAGGACGTTTTTATGGCCTGAATGATTTATCTATAGAAAATTCTCTCACTGCAAGTCCTTTTGTTTCACAAGAGTAAACAAGTAGTATAGCCAAGCTGCAGATTAACCTTCTGGAAAAATCAGGGATCAAACTTGGATCCAGAAGCTTCAGACACTTGTAGGGAAGTTGCTCTTTAGTTCCCAATCCAGAAGCTCACCAGCAGAGAAGCTGGACAGGAAGACCCCGTTGGAGTTACTGTGTCAGTTGTCAGAAAGACCTTTCTGCAAGGAGATTTCCACTTCTGTCGTAGTTGTGTGCTGCAAATCCCTACTTCTAGTGGTTCCTGCCAAAGCGCAGCCCCTCCCAGCGCTGCCAGCAATCCAGCACCACGTCTGCTTTTACTAGAGGAAAGCTGTGGTTCTTGTGCTTCTGAGCATGGTTGATGCTGTAACCAAAATGTGACACAGACTCACATACCACATAGGACTTGGAAACATGCAAGAGGCCCATGGATCTCGGCACTCAGTGACCGGGGCCGGATTAAAAACATCACTGAAATTCCACTGCAAGTGTCCAGATCTCTTACTACCTCTTGATGGCACTGAACCTCCTACATTTTGACAGGCATTCAGTGGCTCTCTGAAGGCACCAAGGCCAGGAAAGCTGCCAGTGAAATTGTATGCTTTTTCTCTTTAGTTTCTCAGGCAATGTCAAGTGATCATGAGAAATTTGAGCATTTGTGTTTGTAATCTTATAATCTATTAGTTTCCCATCTAGCTTTGAGAGAATCATCCTTGGAAGAGGATTTATATATTTTGGTCTCAAGTGCCTTTACCCATCCTATGCTTGTGAGGTGATATTTAGGATGCTGCTGTGAAAAGGGGGAATGTATATGAAAACAAACTTCTTACCTGCATTGCTCTTACAAACTCTTACTGTCTCCTAATCCTGTTTCTGAGGCAGGTGAACATAACAGTACATGGTCTGCTTCAGTGAACTTGAGTATTTCAGTCTCTTTCACATTCCTGGATAGTTTGCCTTAGCATTGATGTTAAAGTAAGAATTAATTTATTTTATCATAGAATCAGAGACTATCTCAAGTTGGAAGGGACCCATAAGGATCATGGAGTCCAACTTCCTGCTCTTCACAGGACAACCTAAAACTAAATCATATGACTAACAGCATCATCCAGAGACTCCTTGAACTCTGACAGGCTTGCTGCCTTTTCAGTGCATTACAGTTTTTATGGACTGTCATCTCTGCACATAGTACACTTTAAATTGAAAAAATTATTTGTTATTTTTAAGATTAGCTTCTGAACCACTTAGGGTTTTATCAGCATCCCAAGGATCATGCAGTTTTTCCTACTGCTTAGTAGTATCCTTCATAAGAGTGGGAAGGAGTCTTCTTTTGGATCTCTGTAAAAGATGTTGATGGAGTGGTTCTGAAACTAGTTTGTGTTCTTGGTTGAAGTTGCCTGTCAAGTGGACAGGAATATACTCAGACATTCTCATCTGAGAAATGAGATGAGTCTATTGAGATATATGTGGCTGAAAAGAGCACCGTGGCTTAACACATCGAGCCTAATTGTCCCCAGAAACTACTGTAGTAAATGGAAAATCTCACACTAAAACCACAGCTCCAAGAAGTGAGGATGCAGAGGAACTGTAATTTATTGGCACAGGGATGCTGATTACCAGGCCTTGTTAATGAAGATTGGCGTTTGGAGTCTTTGCTCCTTTGTAGGAAGGAAGCATTGTTTTATAAAGGTAAGAAAGACACGTTACTGCTTGCTAATGGAAGGGTGAAGCCTTGGATTTGACTGCAGCTGGTTTTGCTCCAATAATCTTAACAGAAGCTCCAGGATAAAAGTGATCTTTCAAAAGGAAAGTCACAGTGAAAGGTAGCAAAATTTCAAAGTTATAAATGTACGTAGTTCCACATACTTTAAAGAAATCTGGAAACACAATGTCGCCCTGAAAAGAAAGAGCAGAGAGAACAGTAATTTCATTTGTTGGAGGAGCTACATAGAAATGCTTTCACAGACAAGACAACCGCATGTGATGCTTTGGTCTATTGCCCCATTTTGAGGTCGAGGCCTTCGGTGTTTGTTCAGATGTGAACCTGTTTGTATGTATACTCTTACACTGTGTACCAGTGGGCCTCGTAGGTCATCTAGTCCTTGTCATTTGTCATTGCTCTTTGGGGTGTTTTTTGCCCAGGATGCTATTGCAGCACTGGGTAAGCATGGCCACCCAATAAGAAGTACATCAGGCTTGTGAGATCACTGCCAATCCTCTTCCTTTGGGTCACCAACTGCTAAGACTTCAGGCACTGAATTGCCTTGGATATGTGCTACTTTTTATTAACAAGCGAACTGGTGGAAATGTTTTTTGGAGGTATCTGAGATATTAAATAACTTTTTTGAGGCTGAAGGAGCCAGGAGTCCCACTGTCTGAGCCCTGTTTCGTATCTGCTTGCCCTGGTGGTGTCTCTTGCCTCAGCTGTGTTCCACTTTCCAATAGGCTCTCAAAGCAGACCTTGCACATGGGTGCAGGTCTGGCTGCAGCTTCAGGACTTGCATTTATTTGCTGGATCCCATGGCCTCATGTGTCTGCATGATGGCCAGCATATTACAATCCTTATGTCCTGGGAGCCAACAGATTCAGTAGGATCTGTGTAGCCATTACCCCCCTCTGGAGTGATGGAAGGGCTAGATAAATATAACAAGGAGGCTCCCCTGCATGCTTCATATCCTGTTCAGAGCTACAGCAATGGGAGTTGTATTACTGGAAGATGGGCAAACATGCAAGCTTAAAAAAAAACAACAAAGCTGAGAGAGGAAAGTATCCTTGAGCTCAGAGTCCATGAGGACTGAAAGTTGTGCCAACAGTGCATATCATGGAAAAAAAATTTAAATCTCACAAGATAAATCACTCTCTTGAAAGTCAGACCAATGGAATCTGTATTTAGTCAGTTGCTCAAAGGTGAAAGAATTTCTTTACAGTAATTGGGTACTTAAAATATGCTTTATATGAGCTCAATTTGTGCTTCATTAGTGTCATGATTTACATGACAGAGAGGACGCTGAGGCATAGGATGTGTATTCTTCCGTTTATGATTTTCATATAATATGAGTCAGGTCAGCATCTTGGTATTGCTGGCCAGAGCCTCCAAATTCCAAAGCAGAATTCCTGTACATCGCAGAGCAGGCATATGCACCGATGACTTGCAATTACAATAAGGTGGTAAGTAGAATTGATTTTCAGCATGGAGCCACGTTGCTATTCAGTTTAAATCAGAATTATCATTAGCTAACTTCTCTTGTCACATTTTAGGCTGGTGCAGGTTCTGTTCTTTACATCACTTTCCAGAATACTTGACAGATAAAACAAGATGTCTGTCCACTTAACGTTCCCTCCCTGTGAGTTGGTGATAGCACATAATGCACAGAAGTACTTGTTTAGGCTACTGACAATTTAAGACAGTTAGGAGCTGAAATAATGAAACAAAACAGGGTGTTAACAAAATTGTGACAGGTATTTAAATTGTCTTTCAGGTATCCCCAATTAAATTTTATCACAAGTATCATTTAAAAAGCCTCTTGTTTTACCCCTGGTCCAAAGCTGGGTTATTTTTCAAGACAGAGATGGTGTTTGCCCCAAACCACTTCCAGTGTAGAATGGAATAGCTGACATCTTTAACTTGAAAATATCTGTATGTCTATCTTGCCATCAGGTAGGAAATACCTGAGGTCCATCAGGACTCAGGTCTCTTGAGACTGCCAAGGTCTTGCAATTGGATCCATCTCAAGTGATGAGCTGTCACATTCTTAGGTGATGTTTACTGTGGTTCCCAGACACCTGTTTGACCTCAACAGCTATCATCTCCAAGAACTCTGAAGCATCCTGGAGAACTCTGGCTCAAAATCAAGCATATTAAAATTCAGTACAAATCAAGAACTTAATAACATCTTATTTTAAGATTTTTTTTCAGCTTTCTCACCTTCCAAACTGAGACATCCTCAAAGCATTATTATTGATGAAGGCAACATTTTATGTTCTGCTTAATACATAAATATGAATTCCAAGTATCGAAGAATTTGGTAGGGAGTGGAACAAACCAGCCTGAAGAGAATTTGGAGGGGAGTAATTATTATTTATCATCGGAGAAAATACATGGCTGGCAAACTACCTCATTTGAGTTGATCTCCACATCTGTGTAGCTTTTCATTTATAATAGTTCCTCCTGTGGGCTCTCTGGGGTTAATTCCTCCCCCCCCCGCCTTACATATGTCCCTAAATAGATAACGATTGTTTGGTGGAGGATACCTCATTTAAAGAAGTGAATGAAGCCATTCTGCAAGTTCTAAGCTGATTGGGACTGTTCAGCTAATTGTGAATTACTTCCTCCAGAGAGTCAAAATACACTAAAATCCACCTTCGGAGCTACAGTGGTTGGGAGCATTGCTGCCTTCCCGTCCCACTCCTTTCTCTCCTCTTTTAATAGATTAGATTAGCAGAGTCAGGATAGGGAGCAGATACGTGCACAGCATAAGCCAGTGAGAGAGGCTTGGGGGTCAGGCAGGGACAAGGACTCCTGAGCAGTCCAAGCAACAGCATCCTTTGCTGGATTAGAGTAGCACAAAGAAACACATCTTCGTGCAGTTTTACTCTGCACAAAATGCCCTGTGTTAGGAAGGCCCAGAGGGTGGGGGAGAGGATGGTTTTGCACGTGTGTTTGATGTTCCTGTTCACTGAGGACAGTTCAGAAAAAGTAAACAATGTGCATCTTACACTGTTCACATCCTCACTTTCAGGCATGCAGCCTGCTGTCTCTGGAGTCACATCCTCATTCCTTCCTCTGGATAGTAAATCTGGTAAATGTTTTTCTCTCTCATACAGTTAAAGTGAGCTTGTAGCTTACCTGCTGCCAAATGCCCAGTCACAGTTCATCAAATCCACAGCTGGAGATGTTTGGAGTTGTTCAGTGGACTGTACTGGAATTCAGAGCTTGTCTTTTCACAGGCAAGGAAACAAACTTTTTGAAAGCCCTGACAGGGCCCAGGTTTTGTCAGCCAGGACAGGACAGGCTGTGTTACCTTGTGAGCGTGTTGTGAACTGGTGCAATTAGACACGGAGTGTGTAATTCCACACTCACACAGCATCTGTGAATGGAGCTTTATTACTTCCAGTCCTGTGAATAAAAGTGGCTTACTGGCTTACACCCACTGCAATAAATCCAAGCAGCTTTCCCTGCCTGCCTTTGACTCACTCCTGCATTAGGCAGCAACCAATTTGTGTCCACCCCGATACTGATGAATGACAAGTTTAACAAGATTTATCCTCCTTGTGTATCTTGTCTAAAGCTGCTGCCTTTAATCCAGCCACTGAGAAGATTATGCTTTACATACTGGAAAACACAGGGTCAGTGCTTTCGTGGGGCTTGTCCAGAACTGGAATGTATGTCTGCTTATGAAAGTGAAGGAAATTACTCTCTGGGAGGAAAAAAAAAGTGTGTAAAACTATTAACTGCTACTGTCTGATTTGTTCCGTATCTCTTGCAACTTAAATGAGAACTCATGGTCCAGCTTTCCAAGTCCACAAAATTACTTTACCTTAGCTCGTGAATTACCCAGCTTTGTTTCTTTTCCTCAGTCTTTTTTTTCACACAGGCTTCTAAGGAGATTTATTCAAAATATGTTACGTATCCTATTAAGAACTTTCTTAAATGCGTTTTCAGCATTTTATGATGAAAAAAACCAAATTAAGGTGCTGATTCTCAAACCAAAAATGCAGCAGCTTCACTTTGCTGCAGCATCACTCAGGAGTATGAAACATGTCAATAACAGAGGGGGTTTGAACTCCATCCAAATCTTTCTCTATCAAGAAGAGGCTTTAATTTAAAAAAAAATTAAGTGTGTTTCTTTTTTTCATTTTAAGATGCTGGAGCTCTTTAGCATTTGACAGGTTAATATTCAGTCTGATGCTTCAAATAATTAGGGTAAAAGCTGCCCATTTATGACCTGTAATGAATATTTCATTTTCTCTCCATATATGAAAACAATAAAAAAATCAAATGCAATGAAAATGAACTGTAAGAATGACATTATCAATCTTGAAGAATAGCATTTATTAATATCACCTGAAAAATGTACCACATGCCACCTGCCACCATTTAGACCACTTCAGATACTTTATACAGCTTTAGTAAAATCAGTAACAGAATGTTTACAGTTAATCTCTCAACCAACATAGAAAGATTTAAATATTTTATTATAGCAGTAAAAATGCTCATCTTTGACTTGCCCTCAATAATGTGAGATACCTGAAATCTAGATCCACAGACACACCTCTTCCCACCCCTTCCCATTCTAAAAACAAAGTAGCTGTTTCTGATGGTGAAAGTCCCAGTCTGATTGCTGAATGTTCACTGGTGGAAACATCTGCTTTTGCACGTCCTGCTCCTCCCCAAGAGTCCCACAATGTAGCACGTTGCAAAGAAAACCTGCCTCAAATGTAGTCAATGCAATCTTCCCATAGTTTTTAGGAGTGTTGGGATCAAGGGTGCCTTGGTTTGTACATGCCAATGAACAGAAAACCGTAAGAAGTCTTTTGAAATTATGTATCTTTTCGAGAATGTAATGAGAAATGAAGGCAAGATATGTGATTACTAATGTAACTTTTGGTTTAGAAGGCATTACTTCCAAAGGCAAAATCCCATTAATAGTTCTCAAGAACACCCTTTTGCCCCTTTTTACTCTAAGTACTGCAAATTGATTAGAATCTCTGAAGTAAAAATTTAAGTGAAGTCTATGTTCTTCAGTACACTTTAGCACAGACAGGCCAAAAACTAATGAACCACAGAGCAGTATCACCAAAAACTGACCAACCATGGGAGATGAGTCTGCTGAGATGCATCAAGGTGCACATGTAGCCAGGTCACTGTCAGTATGGATTGTGTTTGGGGATTCTGGATATCGGTTCAGGAACTTCTGCTGGAACACCATTTTTAACTGTTGGTCAGTTTCATTAATTCCCATACATTCTAGTCTCTGATGTTCCCAAAACAGTATGTTCAGTGAATGAGAGCTCAGGTTGGAAAAGAAGAATTTATAGTTGAGTTTCTGCTCTTATCCAATAAAAACTGAGTATACTGAAGAAAGTGACCAAGGGTATCCTGTATCAGCTGTGTAAATTGTACTATTTAAGTGTTGCATGTAAGTGTTACAATCCCAACTGGATTTGTGACTTAGTAAAAGACATTTAGAACCTTATTTTGGATTGGGCCTTGACTCAGATTTTCTTCATCCTAAAATACAGATAGTTAATGTCGAACTAACTGAGTTGCTTGCAAGACAAACATCTGTTGTGGTTTTTCAGTCTTGCAGCAGAAAGACAAGTCGGTATGTTGGTACAAAATAGATCATGTATAACTGAAGAAAACTGCTTATATATAACCAGAAAGTACTGAAGTTATATAAGAATATATAAACATCTAATTACAAAATACGTTGTAGTAAAAAAATCCAGAGAAAATGTGATATTAGTGAAACTTGTCTGAAATGACCAATAAAAATATGCTGCTTGAATTAAGTATCTTATCAAAATTATTTCTTAGATAAAGTAAGCATGAAGGTACTATACTGTAAGAACTGTACATACCATAAGTATGCTAAGGGGTAAATATTAGGCTTGAGAGAGACAGGGAGCTTCCTCAACCTTTGTTCTGTTCTTCAAGCTTAATTGTAGGTTTGGGTTTTTTTTCATGGTAATGATATGTGTGTTAATCAGTATCTTCTAATCAGACTTTTTAGTCTTCCTGTAGTGCAGGATTGTGGCTGTGACCCAAATATTGAGAATGAGCATGGTTATGAAACGGATGAGAACTAAAAGGGAAAAAAAATATTGTAAGCATTAATCAAAAAAAACCCAACTGCTGTTATTTTCACAGGACAAGTTGTTTTGTAAACCTTTGCTGGTGTACAGACAGGCTGGTTCCTATTCTGCAACTCTTTTCAGCCAATTAGTTTTAATTACTATGTTCAGGAACCCAGAAATTCTGAGTGTAAATACAACAGAAAAGAGCATTTAGCACTTAATCGCTTGCAGTGATATCTGAAAATGATACACTGCAGTACATTTAATTATTTTCTAACAAAGCCAGGAGAGTAGTACAAGTGTGAGTAGCCTCATATAAATTCTTATTTACACCAAAAGCTAAACTCAGAGTTGCAGATCACGTCCTTTAGAGTTGCACGTGTTGTTTATAATAAAGGGATTATTCTCTATTGCCATCTGTTAAGTGTAGCCATTGGGGAGACAGGAAATACCATTATCTGTCAGATTTTAATGATAGAAAATCTGACAACTGACAAGAAAATCAGTTTTTCAGTACCTTGATTAACTCAGCTTTTTTAAAATCCATAATAGGCATAGTACTTCTACCTGTGAGACCACAGTTTGAAGTACAGGTACGTCCAATGTCTATTTGGTAACTGGAATATTCACAGAAATGTACACAAAACTTTGTTTCAGAAGTATGAGATATTTGACAGTTATGTACATGTGGATGTTACAAGTTAACTGGAAACATTTTCCATTAGAGCAGCACAGCATCAATGTTTGCTGCTGTCTCTTCCCTGTTCCAAAGTGGGTGATGCTGGGTTTTATACAGCAGCTTTACCCAGAGCCAGCTTTACTCTCCTGGTGTTTCCTCCCTCCCCGCAGTGAACTTCTCTCACTTCTCTCTGTGTGTGTAGCTGCAGGCGAGGTGAGCTCAGTACCTGACCCTGACTAAATTCCTGCACGTGCATTCTGCCAAATTTTTAGTGATCCAGTTAACATCATGGCCCCATGAACTCCTTACTCTGGCAAAAAGAAAACAGCAAGCATGGGGGTGGAAATGGGGGATTGAAATGGGACTTCTTTTCCAGTGAAAGAGCTGCTTGAAATGCTTGTAAAGCTGCGGCCTTACTGTGCTGCTTAAAGAGGATAAAATTCATTCAAATGATGCTTCTGATGAAACAGCGGTTTTGAACGAGAACAAGGAACCACCAGATGAAGCACAAAGGAATTTTGTTACTGTTCTTGCATCCACCAAGTCTTGATTTTAAACCATTTATTGAAAAATCTGTTGCACTCCCTAGCTCTCGCAGTTTTCTCAGGATGGTAAGAAGCTGTTAAATAAATTTACTTCATAATTAAATCAGCTGCAAATCATATATTTTAAGTCAATTTTTGTGAGTTTCTTACCAGCCTACCATTTCATTTTCAGCCTGCCAAACATTTCTGAATGTTGTGCCTAAAACTATTCATATACTAAGCTGAACTTCAGCTTTCTAGAAGAATTTTTAATTCAGAAAGCCCTCAATATGAAAAGGAAGCACTTACTATTTGAAAAGTTCATTCAACTACTACAGAGTTTTAAGTTGTTTTTTTTTTTTTTAAATAGTAAAGATTTTTAATGCCTTACTCTGCTATTTTTAGAATTAATTTTATAGTGCTTTTGCCTCTTGAAAAAAATAATATCTTTTGGACCAGTTGTACCATGTGATAAGTATGAGCAGTTTTTTGTGGTTTGTTTTTTTTTCTTGATGTATTTTCCTGATTTGTAATCTTGTGCTACTTTTTTTGGCAACTCCTTCCCTTACCATGCTAACCCACCATGTTCATGGTTTGTTCTTCTGCGACCTTTTAGCTGTTTTACAAACGACCTAAAAACTACTGTGGCAGCTGTTCCCTTGGAAAGGCAAGCAGTTCCAAACTTTACTCACCTGCGAGATCATTTGTAGTCACTACAGTTGTAAATATTCTTGCTGTAAATTGAATGAATTCTGATCAGTGGAACACATATGACACATTTACAATTTTAAAAAATTATGAAATATCTATTTTTCAACAGAGGGTAATCTTGCATGAAAATATACACTGTACAGATATTCCCACTTCTAGTACATCCAACTCTTCACTATTTTAGCTTCAGAGATCATGCTCTCAAAGGTGAGTGGCAATGTATTAAGGGTCTTTTTCAATGAGAAAATCACAGATACAATTAGAACTTTTATATCTGTATCTATCACATAGATACAGATTGAATGTGGCCAGAGGATACTGCTTTTCTTTCTGTTCAGCCCCTCCTTCAGTAGTTGACAGTGACTTACACCCACAATCAAGTAACTTAACCATCGTGAATGTCCACATGTGTGCTTTCAGCCTTCTGCAAATACAAGGAAATCAACTTTCTTTCCCACAATGGACCTAAACATTAATTAGTTCACATTTGCATCAGACTAAAAGCATTTATATTGTTCAGCAAACATACCAAAACTTCTAATTATTCACTTTCATGTGGAAATAGATCCAGCATCACTGTGTTTTATAGTGAGAATATTTGAAACAAGTTTTGTGAAAACAAGAAAGGCACTGGCACTTCTGACAAAAAGCTGTAGAACTGTTCATACAGACCACTGGGGAATTACCACTGTTCTTAAATTCTCCGTCCAGAAATGCAATTACATGTAGCCACAGAGTTAATGGTATTTATCAGTAAGTGTGTACTTATTTATAGGTAACTTCAAAATTAGCATTGCCTGATTGTCTAACTCAAATGTTAGCACCTTTTCATGCTGGATCACTAGTAATTTTATTAAATCCTAGAACATGGAAATCTTTTCTTCATAAAGACAGCCTTTCAGTTATTTCAACTCAGGTTCTCTTGGCCATATTCATGTGGGTTTTAAGTCACTGGTTTATATCACTAGTGTCAAAGATAAAACTTGATTTCAAGAGATTTCAAGAGTCTCAGGAGTCAGCATCAAGGGAAACTCAGGCAAGATCTTTACCTATAAGTAAATACCTATGGAAAGAGGCATTAGGAGAACTCAGTACTTCACACCAAGTTGCCCATGGCTTACTTGCACAGGTGTATGCAGACATACTCCAGGTCAAGGCACTCACTTGTCCGGAATCTTTAGTCTGCCAGAGACACCGCAGCTGAACCAGCTTACTGGCTGCGCTGATGAACGTGCACAGGTTCTGAAAAGCAGGTAAAAAAAAAAGAGAAAGAACCTCTGCTATTGTATTATCTGGACAGAACTAGCTTTTTCACTTAGAATAAATGCCAGTATTTGGCAACCCAAGTGCTTTGGTTCTTACTAAGGAACAGTGAAGCAAAAACTGGAAGTTGCCAGAAACAAGGGACTGATTTCTGAGGTACTGCCCAGCAAGAGGCTCAAAGAGCATGACAGTTGCTACTGTTGCTGGCAAATGCTTGATAGAGGCAAATACAACAAAAAGCAAAGAAACAAAAAAAGCTTCTCAACCTGCTCAATAAAACTGTTTATGAAAGTTAGCTAAAATGGGACTGATCTAGTCTAAACAGCAAGGTTGATTCAGACCATCTGTTACCACTATGTCTGGCAAACCAAACCATAAAGGAATGAGAAAACTGACAAGAATGTGCGGAAAATTAGTCCAATTGGAGGGAAAAATAATAACAGGAATGCACTATTCACTCTGTCACTCTTTTAAAGGGGATTCTGCAAAAGCAGCAGGTAGAGAGCACCTCCACACAGGCCTTTGTGCCATGCCCAGATTTCCCTTGCAAGTAAGGTTTGGAGTTGGGCTTAGAAGTTTTTATCCCCATTTGTATCATCTTTTGCACTAGCAACTCCAGTTCATCTCAACTATGTTTTTACTTTCTCTCTTCTGGTAAAAGGAGAAAAGACCATCTTTAACCTATGTAGGCATTATCAGATGGTATTTTTCTTGCAAAATTGTAGGACTGAAGGGGAAAAATTATTTCACATGCCCTGTTCCAAATGCTTTGACTGATGGTCCATTCTCTTCCTGTTGTGTTAAAGGTTTATTGGTTGGGATTATGACATTAGGACTAAAGTGGCAATAGAATTTCAACATCTTAAGCGTCTCCTAGTTTTAATTAAGGCACCACCAATTAGCAACTTTACCTTAGAACATACCTTTTTTTTTACCAGAGTCTCTATTGCCACTGATGTTTTCCAGCAACTCACAGAAGAGAGAATCAGTTGAAAACTGGTTGGTTGTTCTGAAAGCTCAAGTTGTCCTTATTCCAATGACAAATATTAGGAGAGATTCCACTGATAAAGACTTCCAGAAAAAAAGTAATTTCATATGAAGACCTACTTTCAAATAATCATGCAGCACTTACCATGGCCAGGTCTATTATCCACTTCCGCAGTGTTAGCATGTACCAGCCCCCCCAGAATCTTACATTAAGTTAAGTTTCATAGCACTGAAAATTCTAGGATACAAAGTTCTCAAAACTGCCTAAGGAATTATATATTTTTTTAAACATCTGGAAACAATCTTATAGAAACTTTGTAACAGACTATACAATCCAGATAAAACATATTAAGCACTGGTTGAAACATTAAGTGTTCCTATTTTTCACACTGTCTTCAGTTGAGCAGTTGCCTGTAGTTTCTCAAAACTTGCTCCAAAGCACAAGATTTGAGATTTAAACTGAAGTCCTATATAAAAAAAAACAAACACTCCTATCTTCATCATAGCAAGTATAATGTGCATGGGTGGGAATCAAAGAAAAAAG